GTCCAAGTGCCTGTCCCGCTCCTTACGGGACACCCATTCTCTACAAGGATCTATGGCCACAGTTCAACAAGTTTTGTTTTTCTCTTTAACTTTATATTCCAGATGGGAAATGGTGCAATACTCTGGTAATAATCTTCTTGCATTAGTCCACAATGAAAAGCTGCTAAAGGTAGATAGACATATTATTTCTCCAGAGATATACACTGTAACTTTAAATGCAATAACAGAGTCCTTGAGTAAACATTTACACATGAATTGTCGCCAGCCCTGTCCTGTGAATTCTCTTTGCTGTTCAGGATTAGCTATAGGAAGGGCAGGGGCACCTCAGTGCAAAGTTAGAAGCGAGTAACAACAATGAGAACATCTGACCAACATGAAGAAAAAAAAAGCATATACGGAATAGAAGGGGGACCACAGTTAAATCCCTCACACGCTCTCAGACACAAGCACACAGCGAGCGTCAACTGTGCAAGAGCACGCGCACACAGTTCCGCACGCGCACGCACGCACACGCAGGCTATAAACGTAGACATTTCCTAGAGCCTGTTTCTGTGCACGGATGTCAACGTGGAAGTGTTCACATTTCGGTATTGGCCTGCTGGGTTCAAGTATTTGCATGTTTGATATGTCTTTTTTTTTTTTTTTTAACTTTTAAAAAATATTTTTTTGGGATAAAAAAAAATGACATGAAAAAGTAATGAAACAAGGGTAATGTGCATAGGCAGCTCCAGGGGGACAGAGAGCACTGGCCACGCCCTCAGCTCTGTGCCCGCACAGCGCAGCGCCTGTCCCGCCTGCCCGCCGCCTCTGGTAATGTGCATAATCATCACAGGCTCACTTTAAATAGGCTTCAAGTCTCCCCCCACCCCACCATAAAATAACCCTTTCCAGCCCACAATCTGAAAAGTGCCCTTCATGATAGAACTATTCTAAGCAGCTTTTATACTTAAAACTCAAAATGACAACACACCGTACAAACATAAGACGACATAAAATAAAAAGCTATGAGGAACATCCTGTCATTAGCACGTGACACTGACCAAACGCAGCCCGCACTGTCTTCAACAGTTCACAAGGGCTGAGGCCAAGGTTCATCTTCAGAACTGGACAGAGGTACTCGAAGGGGCAGCTTGTCCATCAGGTGGAGCCTCAGAGCTAGGCCTGGCACGGTCAGCTCTCTTCTCCCCACTGACTGTGACCCCTAGATGGACTCGCCGCTGAGCAGGTCCCCTGGCAGCAGAGTGTTGAGAGGCGTGGGGCTGCCGATCACCCTGGCATCGTCGGCACTGGGAGGGCCCCAGAGACTGCTGGAATACTGGGGCACCCCACCCCATAGCAGCTCACTGCTGCCTTTCCCACTCAGGCATGGGGTGTTCCAGTGGGCAGTGTCGCTGCGCACTAGGCCATGGGTGCTCCCCGAGGTGCCCAGCCTGGGCTGGCTGGCCCCGCTGCTGGACTGCCAGCTGGAGGTGGGTGGGAGGGCTTGGCCTTGGGCCAGGAACCGGTTCACTTCTTCTTCACCAGCAAATTCAGCCAAGATGGTGGTGTTTCCCAGTACACACCTAGAAGGCAAGAGGCTGGGTAAGTGTGTCACTCTTACTCCTGAGTTTGTGCTACCAGGAAAGACAGACAAAAGGATCATGTCACAAGCTATATGACCTAATCCACGTGGACTGCATGTTTAAATGTGCTATGCCATGGGGGCTCAGCTGTCAAGCCCCACACCTCAGGTGACACTGCAGAGGGAGGACTCTTGTACTCTGCATGGATAGCACCCTCAAGGGGGCAGTGGGCTGCTGTGAGCAACTCTGGAGTCTGGGTGGGTACTGGACTCTCTAGGAGACACACACACAGACAGACAGACACAAATACAGTGACTGCATGAAGACAGGGAGGATGGCTGCCTACATACAGAAGAAGTGGGCCTCAGGAAGAGCAAGTCTGTCCATACTTTGACCTTGGACTTCCAGGCTCCAGAGCTGGGAAAGGCACAGTTCTTCTGATCAAAGCACTACCGAGGTGCAGTGCTGGGGTGCCACAGTACTCCCTCCCTCCACCTAACACACTACTGGACACTGTGGCTACTTGGCAGTGTGAGGGGCTGAGGCATAGCATACATGTGCAGAGACTTTTGGGCCTTGGCGGCTTCTTCCTTGGAGCTGTAACGGACCACAGCATTGCCCTGGGTCAGATTCAGGTGGAATGTGATGAGGGGCCCATGCTGCAAACACAGCGTCCGCAGTGTAGAACCATCGATCTGAGGAGGAAGCAAAGGTGGGATGTGACCCTCCAGGCTCTTGCTGTGCTCTGCAGCAACAGCACGGAAACTGGATGCACTGCATACTAGAACTATTTCCTTTGACAGGCTCATGACTGCAACGGACACTGAAAAGTTTGTCTGTGGCCAGGCAGCTCAAGTGTGGGCTACTACACTTATACTAGCCAGAGGGAAGGGCCAAACTCCCATTCTGGGTTCTGCAGCTTGCAAAAGGCACAGCAGCAGCCTGGCAGCCTTGCAGTGATAAGCTAGTTCTGTGCCAGAGAATGGTTAAAGAAGCTGATCATATAGCTGAGGTGGCCAAACTCCCTGAAAGGTGTGTTTCTAAGATGTTTTCAGCTTCAGAAGGGCAAACGAACCACCAGGAACATGGCTGAGAGAAGTATGTGGCTGTACTTGCCCACACTTACCTGTATTTACACTTGCTTCTGCCACTCTGGGCCCTGAGGGAAGATGCCTGACACACACAGTTACCTGCTCCAAGGGCAAAGTAGGCACCTTCTTGGCCACAAGCAGCTACCCACTGGTATGACATGCCGCCCCTACATAGCAGCCAGCACCTGTACCTGGGGTGTGAGGTTGCGCAGAACGAGCCAGCTGCTTGTTCTTCCTGAGGGGTCAGTACTCCATGCAGAACCTGTGTAACAAGCCCACAGGATAAGAACTCAGTCGACAGGCCATATTTCTAGTCTGACTTAAAATAATTAGCCAGCTCTAGTCTTTTGACCCTGTGGAAGCCATGGCACCTTTCGATACACCCAATCTCATAATCACTGCAGAGTCCATCCGTGGCCCATGCAAACCCTGACTTCCCAGCAGGCCTGTCTTCTTCTCTGTTGGGTTGCAGGGAAGACGGCAGATCCGACAAGTACCTGAGAATCACCTGCAAAGTTCCATTCTCTACTTTGTTCTGCCCCAACCCTCACTTAGAACCAACACACTCGGACTTCTGCTTAACGAAGTGAAGCAGATGTGGCAGGGCAGGGCTGCCACTAAGAGCCTGGGGACTGCTCTGAGGGTCAGCAGCTGACTGAGGCCTGGGTGCTTTTCTCCTACGTAGCAGAGGGGCCCAGTGACCACAAGCACTCGGTGGAGGGACTCTATAGGGCTGTACATTTCCAAGGTGCCTTAGTTTTTGGTCTGGAAAACCCTTATGTTTCCATGGAACCTTGTGGAGAAATGAAGACCTCTGTGCTGGGTGAGATGGGTAGGAAGCCTAGAATGGCTGAATGGCCTTTTTGAGGATACAGTACATGAAGTAGGTATGTCCAATAGCCTGCCCTGTATAAGACGCTCCATCTCTTCACTTTTTTTTTTTTTTTTTTTGAGACAGGGTTTCTCTGTATAGCCTTGGCTGTCCTGGAACTCACTTTGTAGCCCAGGCTGGCCTCAAACTCACAGAGATCTGCCTGCCTCTGCCCAACTCTTTCTTAAGGTCCCAGGCTTCCAGGGTCTGATGAGAGGCACGGGATAGAAAAGGCACATTTCCCTGAATCACATGTAGAGCAGCTATGAGCGCCCTTCTCCGCAGGAGGTGGCAGTGCTTACCCGAGGAGTAGGAGCTGGTCCAGCCAAGGGGGCTGGTGCCCCAGGTGGAGGAAGGCTTGGGATTGGCTAAGCCTGGAGGTGGCCTGGTGGGCGCAGTAGTGTTTCTGGGTACCTTCCACAGCTCATGAGACAGAGAGGCTTGCGTGTGAGAGGCTGGGCCTGAGGACCATGTTGATTTAATGTCGGACAGTTTACCTAGGAGAGAAACAGAGGATGGGCTTGTGCACAGCCAGAGAAACGACTGCAGCTTGGGAAGCTGGCAGGGTAACTGCAGATGGGAGAAAACAACAGCCACAAAGCACCATGGTGCTTCTGACTCATGCTGGGTGACCTCCCTGCCTCACCTCCTGGGCTGATGGACTGCTGACTGTGCCACTGCACCCAGCTTTACTCTCTTCTACTTTCTGGTCAAAGATACTGTGTGTGCCCTGTGTAGACTCTGCTGAACTGCTGACACTTCTTCGGTTGGCTAACATTTGCTGTGAAGAAATGTTTTGAAGTTTAATCTTTTTTTAACTTGTTAAAATTTTTGTTTGTTTGACTGAGGTAGGATCTTCTTCTGTAGCCCAGTCTGGCCTTGAGTTTGTAGTAATCCTCTGCCTCCCATGTGCTAGGATTACAGGTGTGTGTCACCAGGCCTGACTGATTTGGTGTTGGGAATGGAATCCAGGGCTCAGAGAATGCTAGGCAAGTACCCTGTCCACTGGGCCACACCACCAGCCCTCTCAAGTTCAGACTTTAATCATCATCAGCTGTGCTGGGACGGTCACATCAGAAGCATAGCCTACACATGTGCTTCTTGTGCAATCTCTAGGAGCATTAGTCCCCTGTCAGAGAATGCTCCTTCTGACAGACACTTCTGCCACAGCCACTGTCTAGCTATAGACACGGATGTCTCCACTGCTTCTGGACTGAGATGCAGCACCAGGCATGCTGGCTGGGGAGGCAGTTATTGGAACTCTTTGGGAGAAACACAAAAGCAACGGCCACCATGGGCCCCAGATCCTTCATCTGCCAACGATTGCCACCATCCCCTGTGTGCTCCTGAGACCCTGCCATACAAATATGCCCCACTCCACTGTCACACGCACAGCAGCATGGACAATGGGAGGACTGCGGCCTCGGTGCGCACACACTACAAATACTGTCAACCAGATGCTATCAAGAAAGGTGATCTTTCTTCTGCCCATTTCTTTAGCTACCTCCCACTGGAAGTGTAAAAGCTGTAAATATACTTCTTTTTCAACATTAGTAAGAGTGAAAACAATCTAGTGGCACCAACTTGGTTTTTTAACGTGGTGCTGAGCTACATCAACACTGCTTTCTTCCCCAGGCTCAGAACGTTACAGGAATGCCCCAGGAAGAGAGGCTTCAGAACTATCTTCCTGCAGCAGCTCTGTGCAGCAAGGTGCACTACAGCAGTTTAACAATCCGGTTGAGGTTTGTTGAAATACAGGTTTGTCCACAAATCTAAGATAGTGTGCACACATCTCCTTTTTCTTTTTGTTTTTTTTTGAGACAGGGTTTCTCTGTGTAGCCTTGGCTGTCCTGAACTTACTTGGTAGACCAGGCTGTCCTTGAATTCACAGAGATCTGCCGAGTTCCTCTGCCCTCTAACTGCTGGGATTAAAGCTTTATGCTAAAGCTGGATTAAAGGCGGGATTCCATGACTGGCTGTGCAGACATCTTCTTAAGAAAGTTTTTACACAACCTGTTGTGGTGACACATACCTTCAGAGGCAGATTCAGGTGAATCTCTTGTGAGTCTGAGGCCAGCTAACAGGGCTACATAGAAAAACCCTAAAATAATTTAATAACTTAATAATTTAAAGACTTCTCTCTATTTCACTAGAAGACGTGTTCTACGTGTAGGAGCTGTGAGGTGAGGTCTGTGGTGTCCTAAGAGCACTTCAGACACCACATGAGAGGAGAGTGGAACATGAGTACCCTGACGACCTCGGTTTCACAGTGGGTCCTGGCCCTTCAACCTCAAGCCCAGGTAGGCACACATCTACGCTGCTGCCTGCTGTGCACTTCCAGAGCCTCACAAGGTCATCTTGTTGCTGTGGGAGAAGGGGGAAGCTGACCTGCTTACGTGGGACCTACATATCGTGTGGCCTTTGTCACCCCAGGAGACATGACCACCTCCATTCTGCATGTAAGGACACATATTCCTACTGCTGAACTGGTCAAGGCCATGCCTGCCTTCATCACACATGGCCTCCCTGTCCATCTTGCCCAGGTTTTGTTTAGGGAGAGAAAGGAAAAGCTACCTACAGGCCAAGAGACCAATTCCTACCTCCAGCACTGGACGGTGAGGCAATGCTGCTGAAAGAGCCACTGCAGCCAGAGGCACTGAGTGGTCAGGCATTCTGAGAAGATGGGGGGGGGGGGAGATCCCTGTAGAACCAAACATGCACTAAGATGGGCTGGTCAGCATCAAGTGTGCAGTGACTGGGGTACAAGGAGCTCCGGCATGATACAGCATAGGAAGAAGACAGGGCTGTACCTCCTAGCTCCTGGGAAAGCTGACAATAAGCCTTCCTGAAAGTTTTAGAAAACCAAAGAAACATGGGTAGGAACCACCTGAGGGGGGTAAGTCATAGGAAGAGAACCACTGATAAGACAGCTAAAATACCATGGCATGATGCCGAATATCACAGGGATTTTCCCTCCGTAAAGGATAAGAATTTAAATATAAGGCAATTCTTATTCTTTTAAAGCTCAAGCAAAAGACACAAAATTAAAAAAATAAAAAATCCAGACTTCTTAGTATAAACCTTGGTATACATAAAAGCAAGAACTTTTCTGGTCCTAGTTCTTAGTCCCACTTCCCTCAGGGACCTGAGGTAGCGAGGAGGCATCTGTCCCAATCACTGTGGACACCCAGAGCCATTGCCTTCTACTCTGAGAGAGCCTTGTCCCTGCACCTAGAGAGCATGTGGGCACTGGGCTACCCTTAAGACACCTGGCTTCTTCACAGCTTGGTTTGGTTCTCACCATGCCTCTTTTTCAAGTCTGTAAACAAATCAAGACCCTGTGGGAAAACAAGGATGGGCATGGTTGCAGATCTGTTGGAAGCAGGGCAGAAGAGCTCCTCCAACTGAGATTCAGGCACAGCTGGACTATTATGCCCACCAACACACAGAGTCTATGGCTAAGCCATAGTCTCCAGCTCAGTCAACTGCACCAGTGTACATGCCATGACCTCTCCTGACAGTAACTCCTGTGCACTGAGTCTTCAGTTGTACAAGGTATCTGCTCTACCAACCCTCCTAAGCTATTATTCAGCCCACTAACGTCATCAGTCTAAGATCACAAGACGGGTGCTGTTTGAACATGTGAGAAATGTGTCTAAATCCTATGTTAATGTTTTCTAGCTTTGTAGTATGGTTTCCTACACTCTCGTGTCTCACAGAAGCTGTGCCAAAGACATCATCAAGACAAGGCAGGAAAACAGACTAAAGCTAGCAGTGGTGAAGTTCGCCTTCAACACACCTTTAATCCTAGCACTCTGGAGGCAGGGGCAGGGGGATTCTCCGAGTCTGATGCCAGCCTGGTCTATTTGGTGTGTTTTAGGATGACACTGTAAGATCTTGTCTCAAAAAAGTAAAAAAGACTGGAGGGATGAGCGAAGGCTCAATTTCCTTCCAGTTTAAAGAGAATTCAACAAAAAAAAAACAAACAACCCTTGTCATAAAAGGCTAATAGCTGAAGCTGTGACTGCCTAACACAACTATTTAAAAAAAAAAAAAATGATATGAACTACTTGCTGGTTAAAAATTCTTCATCCACAGAGGGTTTCTGTGAATGTCACTGTGATGGCTTGATTAAGAATGGTCTCCACAGACTCATGTATTTGAATGCTTGGCCCACAGGGAGTGGCACTATTAGGAAGTGTGGCCTTGCTGGAGGAAGTGTGTCACTGTGGAGGTGAACTTTGAGGTCTCTTATGTTCAAGCTACAATCAGTGTGACTCTCGGCCTTTCCCTTCGGATCAAGATGTAGAACTCTCAGGTCCTTCTCCGCACCATGTCTGCCTGCATACTGCCATACTTCCCACCATGGCATAAAGGGCTAAAAACCCAAGCTGTAAGCCAGCCTCAATTAAATGCTTTCCTTTACAAGAGCTGCCATGGTCATGGTGTCTCTTCACAGCAATAAAACCCACAGTCATGTGTTTTGTGTCTATGGGTTAGGGACAGTCTCTGCAAAATCAAAAAGTCCAGAATCTGAAGCACATGTGCTAGGCCAGTCAACATAAGCACACACCTTATCAGTCTTCCCACAGGTTTTGCCTTTCATTTTCTGATGCCACAGTGGTCAGGTGAACAAAACACGTACTGACTATGTCTGATGCCATACCTGCCTCACAGCTACAAGGTCAGAAGATGCCTCTACAGCCGCCGGGAGACTGGCTCATAGAAGGCAAGGTGACAGCCCTCCACAACTCCAGCAACACTCCCCCCCCCCCTTTTTGTTTGTTTGTTTTTGAGACAGGATTTCTCTGTGTAACAAGCCCTGGCTGCCCTGGATTCACTTTGTAGACCAGGCTGGCCTTGAACACACACAGATCTGCCTGCCTCTGCCTCCCTGAGTGCTGGGATCAGAGGCGTGTGACACCACCGCCTGGCTTCTCACCTCCACTCTTAAGAAGGTAGCGGTTGACATCCTGGATGGTGGTGTTGATGGTAGGTCCAGTAGGGACACTTCCAGGAGTGACATCAGGGTCATTCTCGGGATCAATGTTCTGAAGACCTTTCCACGGAACTCCAGGATGGAATTCTGTTCATGGAAACCAAAATGAGGCTGCGTACTAGAGCACCTTTACTTGTCTCCTGACATTTAAAACTCGTTTTCCACATTTGTAGGAATTTGAAAAGTCCGATAGTTAGGTTCAGAGGTATTCTTTGGTTAGATACAAGGCATTAGATCAGTTATTCTTTTGGAACAAACTAGAAACAGCTACCACATGCCGGTACCAGGTGGGAGCTGGTGTCCCTTGTCACTCCTCCTGGTCACTGGCCTACCCTACCTTAAACTGGGAAGCTGCACAGCAATGTTTGACACCAGGTACCTCACAAAATCTCGACAGAAACCCCAAAGCTCTAGACTCGATGCTTGCAGGACCCAAAGTGCAGATTCAGGCTCCCTCAGTTCTAATTACTCTCCTAGGCTTGGGGCATCCTTGAATCTACCACTTGAATGCAGTCTTACCTGGGGGCCAGCTAATGCTGGAGCCATTTGAGATTTTATCGCTGTCAGATTTGGCACGTGACCAGCTATGGGGAACAGCTACAGGAGGACTGGCTGGTGACTCACTGTTCTGGATTAACTCGTACCGGCCATAGGAGTCATCAATGGAGGACTTACCTGGAGGCCCGATGCTTAGACCTCCAGGGATAGCACCTACAGAACAGGAACCAGGAATACAGTGAGTGCTGACAAAGATGCGCACGCACATAATGCAACCACCTTCCCTTCCAGGCCCAGATGCTCGCCCCTGGCAGTTACAGGCCTGTCAGCCTTGAGCTGTACACGAGTCTTTAAGGACTGTGTCAGTGAGCCCAAACATGGTCTTTGGACGACTAACTCATGTATGCTAGGCCAACCCTGAGGCACACCAAGTACCAATCACACATCATTGTTATTGTTGGTTTCCCCCTGTCACAGGGTTTCTTTGTGTAGCCCTGGCTGTCCTGGTGTTTTCTCTGTAAATCATGCTGGCCTCCTCAAACTCAAAGAGAACCACCTGCCTCTGGCCCCTGAGTACTGGGATTAAAGGTGCACACCACCACCACCTTCCAGCCGGTACCATTATTATTATTACTTTCAGTGCTGGGGATCAAATCCAAGGCTTCATACAGGCTAAGTAAGCACTTCACTACTGAGTTTTGTTTTCTCAGATGGTGTCATACAGTCCAGACTGGCCTTTAACTCCCTATGTCATCAAGAATGACCCCAAACTCCTGATCTTCCTATCTCTACCTCCCCAAATGCTGGGATTATAGGTGTATGCCACTATGAACTGCTTTAGTTGTCAAGCTGGAAGGTCTTACATACCTCAGATTGGCCCTTGAACTTATGTTTAAGGGTGACCTTCCTGACTCTGCCTCTGTGCTGAGACCACAGGCACGTGCCACCAAGCTTGGTTTAGTGGTGCTGCACATTTTACCCCAGGTTCCTTGCCTCCTAGACAAGCACTCTAACACCTGAGCTAATGCCCCAGTCCAGAAACTTACAACAGCTTTGATTTGTGTATATGCCCATGTGCATGCACAGAGTTCAGAAGCCATCAGGCCTCCTGATCTATCCCGGACTTCCTTGAGACAGGTCTCTCAGTGAGCCTGGAGCCAGGCTGCTGGCCAGCAAGCTGCAGCTAACCTCCCACCTGCTCCTGTATGTGACTACACTGAATTTTAGATGAATTATGAGGACTTGAACTCAGGTTATTATGCTGTGTGTCAAGTGCTCTGATCTGCTGAGCCATCTCACTAGTGACACCCTCCCCACCTTTTTATTTTTAAAATTTGTCTTTATTTGTATTTTATGAATGTTTTGCCTACATGTGCATCTGTTTACCACGAGTGCCTGGTCCTTGTGGATGTCAGAAGAGGACATCAGATCCCCTGGAATAGGAGTTATAGGCAGCTGTAAGCTAATATTTGGTTGCTGCCTATATTGGGAATCAAACCCAGGTCCTCTGAGAGCGGCCAGTGCTCTGAACCTCTGAGCCATCTCTACAGGACACCTACCCCCCTTTTAAAAGAGACTTGCCCAAGCAGGTTTGAACATTTGGGATCAAGAGATTCTACTGTCCTGGTCTCTTAGGTAACCAAATTCATATCACATTATCAGTGAATAAGAATAAATTTTTATTTATTTATTTTGAGACAAGCTCTTTTTGCAGCCCTGGCCGTCCTGGAACTCACTCTATAGGCCACGCTCTAAACTCAGGGATCTGCCTGCTTCTGCCTCCAAGAGCTAAGATTAAAGGCATGTGCCACCACACACATTTTGTGCTTCTGGTTATAAACATAAGACTCTTGAACTATCATTGACTGTTACACCCCTAGCCACATTAAAAATCTTATTTAAGAAAAACATATTTTTTGAGCTAGGCCTCATATAAAACAGGCTGACTTCCAACTTGTAAGTAGCCAAGGATGACTTGAAATTCCTGTTCCTCCTGCCTCTACCTCCCAACTGCTGGGATTACAGAACAGCTCCTATCCTTCCAATCTGGAAATGTTATACCTTGGGAAGCTGTATATCATAAGTCTTTCTGGGTATAAAATTTGAGTCTTTCTGGTTAGTGATCATGTTTGCTGGCATGTCTATGTCCCCCCTCCCCTTTCTGCAGGGGTTCCCCTACTATACAAGAACAAAGTAGGCACTGATTTATACAAAGTAAACCAACTATGATGGTACCAGGTAAAGGGCCCAGATGTCACATGGAGATTTTCTTGCTAAATTAACCATTAGGGTTCCCCCCCCCCCTTTAGATTACTTTATATCAAGAGAAAACTATATACCCTATTACATTTCTTTTGTTCCTTTCTGTTTCTGGGGATAAAACTCAGGACCTCAAGAATGTAAGACTAGTGCCCAGCCACTGAATCAAGGTCACTGTTAGTGCCCCTGTCACTGAGCCACACTCTAGCCCATTCTGGGCCAATATGATGATTAAGAGTTTTGTTTCTTTCTCCTTTCTATTTGATTTTTTTTGTGTTTTACTTGTTTGAAAGGTGATTCTTCTTTAAAGCACTATCTTTTGACATTAAGAAAAAAAAATCTTTTTTTTTTTTTCCAGAGCTGAGGACCAAACCCAGGGCCTTGCGCTTGCTAGGCAAGCGCTCTACCACTGAGCTAAATCCCCAACCCCAAGAAAAAAAAAAAAAATATTCATTATGTATTTGTATCCACGTGTGAGTATATGTGTGCAAGTGTAGGTATCCATAGAGGCCATGGAGCTTCAGTTACAAGCAGTTGTAAGCTGCCCAACATGGGTGATAGAACTTGTCTTCTGCAAGAGCAATACTGCTCTTACCTGCTGAGCCAGCTCTCCAGGACTCAGCAGGCTCTTTTTGTTGGCAGATAAGGAGTTAACTAAAGAGTACTGGGCTCTGACCTATCCTTTCAATGATCTGTGGGTTTGGAGCTAAGATCTAATGGTTAGCTTGCAGGTACTCCTTTTCTTCTGTTCTTGGAGCTGCATTCATAGAAGCACATGGAATGGACATGATATTTCAGGCTACCCTGTCAATAAGTCAATTGCAACCCTCTGTTGACCAGGAATTTGGCGAGGGCATACATACCATGCTTGCTAGGATTCTGGTCCAGGGGAGAAGCAGCACTAGACAAGTTACCCATGGAGTTGGGATGTGTCCACTGAGGCAGGCGTGACTGGGACTGAGACGGGTCCTTCACAGACAAACCACTGCTCATGTCTATGCTGTTGACATTCATGTTTGGGTTCAATCCAGCTGAAAACACAGACATTGTTAGTATTTGTCTCTCCCTTGAAAGATTTTGCTCTGAGAGCCCTCTTGGAGAGTCAGCCTCCACCCTCAGGTAGAGTCACACACTTCCATTTTAATTCCACACTCTGCCCCTACAGATTTTTTTTTTTTTTTAATTTTGAGACAAGGTCTCACCATTGTAGTTCCTAGCTGGCCTGGAACTCACTTTGTAGACCAGGCTGGCTTCCAACTCACAGAACTCTGTCTCTGGCTCTAGCCATGTGCCACCACGTTCACACCCTCTCCTCTTTCTGAGATAAAATTTTAATCTGTAGGCTCTAATGTGTACCTTCTCACTTTAGGCTCCCAAATGCTGAAATTATAGGCATACACCTCGTTCAACTGTAATTTATTTTTATTATTATATATACAATGTTCTGCCTGCATGTATACCCGAACACCAGAAGAGGACACCAGATCTCACTATAGATGGGTGCTAGCCACCATGTCGTTGCTGGGAATTGAACTCAGGACCTTTGGATGAGTAAGTAGTGCTCTTAACCTCTGAGCTATCTCTCCAGCCCCCTCAACTGTAATTTTTTAAATTATTATTTTTTTAGATTTTACTTGTTTTATCAATGAGTGTTCTATTTGCATGTGCACCTGTATGGCAGAAGAAGGCTTCATATTTGAGTATAGATGGTTCTAAGCCACCATGTGGTTGCTGGGAATTGAATTTAGGGCCTCTGGAGGAGCAGACAGTGCCCTTATCATCTCCTGAACCATTCCTCCAGTTTTTTGAGATAGAATCTCAGTGTGGCCTAGGCTTACTGTATAGTCCAGGTGTACCTCAAACTCATGGCAACCATCCTGCTTCAGCTTCTCAAGCTCTAGGATGATTACAGGCGCTAGCTGCCTCATCAAAACAAAACAAAACAAAAAAACCTCCCCTATTTTCTTTTTTCAAGACTTTCTCTGTGTACCCATCTGCCCTCGAACTTGCTCTGTAGACCAGGCTGGCCTCAAACTCCCAGAGATCTAACTGACTCTGCCTCCCAAGTGTTGGGATTAAAGGAATGTGCCACCACCACCTGGCTTTAACTATAAATTTTAATGCTGATAAAAAAAAATGTTTTTTTCCTTCTTTACATACTTTCAAATATTTTTAATATTTTAAAATATTCTAATATTTAAAAATTTAAATTATTATATATATATTTATGTGTGAATGTATATGTATGGGTGTTTTTTGTATCATTTGCATGCCTGGTGCCCACAGAGGCTAGAAAAAGGAGTCAGATACCCTGTAACTGGTATTACAGACAGTTGTGAGCCACCAAATAGGTGCTGGAAATCAAGCCCAGTCCTCTGGAAGAACAGCCAGTGCTCTTACCCACTGAGTACTGCTCTAGCCAAGTTGGGAGTGGGCCAGACACTCAGCAGGAAGCAGCAGGCAACAACACAGAGGCCGGCTTTTCCTCCCTCTCTTATGAGAGCTCCTGTGGGATCCTATGCGGCCTCTGGACACCCGTGTGCCCACTGCAAAACCCCAATGTCATGGCAGAGGAAACTCTATCACTCAAGCAGAATCAATATTGTGGTTCTAAATTTTAGAGCAGAAGCTGTGAACTCAAACAGCCATGACAGCATGTGGGTGGGAGATGCAAGGAGGCCAGTGGGCCTGAGGGCCTGTTCTAAGGCAAACTGAACAGGTTCTGTCCTGCCCAAATAAAGAGGTGCTACTGCCATGTGGAAAGCAGGCTCTGTGCACCCACTTGGATTTTTCCACCCGTTTTGTTTCTGAGACAAGGTCTCTCTGTGTCCCTGTCCCAGAACATTACATAGACCAGGCTATCCTGGAACTCAAGGACATCTGTCTGCCTCTTCCTCCGGAGTCCTGAGATTAAAGATGTGTGTCATGACAATGGGCATGCATCCCATTTTTGCTCAACCACTGAAGTGTTTATACAGTCACATACTTATGAGCAGAACAGCTATGTAAATCTGATGCTGCCCAGGCACTGCCTTCTCTCAGCCTCTGCTGTCTAGCCTTCACTCCCTTATACACATCTACCAGGTAAAGCAGCAACAAGGCTGTCGAGGCCCTCTCACGGGACTGTCCCTGAACACAGCAGGGCTCCTCTCTGCTGTATCCTGTTATCTGGAAACTTCTTCATTACTCAAAAACTTTTACCTATTTGTCTGGGACTCAATTAAAAAATTTAATCTTATATGATTTTTGTTTGTTTGTTTGTTTGTTTTGAGGGAGGTTTCTTGGTACATGACCTGGTTGGTCTGGTATTTGCTATGACCCAGGCTAATCTTGAACTAATAGCAATCAGCTCCTTAATGTTGAGATCACAGGTATATTTATCTTTAGCTTATCATGGTGGTAGCAGTGAACCTTACTTCTTGAGAGCTCTTTTTTTTGTTTGTTTGTGTGTTTGTTTTTTTCCAAGACAGGGTTGCTCTGGTTGTCCTGGAACTCGCTCTATAGACCAGGCTGTCCTTGAACTCAGAGATCTGTCTCCTAAGTGCTAGGACTAAAAGTGTGTGCCTCCTCCACTTGGCTCTTGACAGCTCTTGGCTCTTGACAGCCACTGGGGTCACTGTTCCTGTTGACACCATCAAATCCAGCAGGCAAGAAATACTGTAGCCTGGACGGCATGAATGAAAAAAGGGGACAGAACCCAGAGCGACATGGGTTTCTGGTCTCCTACCATAGGCTGCTACTAAAAAGCTGCTCTTCACCATCTGTGCTGTTACAGAGAAAAGGCAAGAGCCATCAAGACAGACCATTTTGCAGGCAAAGTTTTCTATACCTAATGAGATGATCATTTTAAATGTTATATCTTAGATACTAAATATAACTATACTTTCAATAGTTTGACATTTTTATCAAAATAAATCTATCTAATTTCAAAGATTCACTGCACGAGGTAATTCCTAGAAGTAAAAGTCTACGCAGGTCAGAGGGTAGGAACACCAGGTCTAAGACATTGTGGGATGGTGAATGGAGTAGAGTCTGCTCTCAACAACCATCCTAGAACAGAACTCACCATAAAGCTGTCATATGAGATTACTGTAACAAACCACACACACACACACACACACACACACACACACACACACACATACAGACACACATGGAGACACACATGCATGCCCGTACACTTCATTTTATTGAGCAGGAATTCTGCAAGCCAGGCTGGCCTGGAACCTAAGGCTACCTAACTGGCTCAGCAGCTCTATTACCAGGATCACAAGTGTGAACCACCATGTCCAACTTTACATATTATTAACTCATGTAAGCTCATGTAATCTTTAAAAGAACCCTGTGTGATACTACTTCACATAGACAGGACAGTTGCGGCAAAGAGCAACCAGAAAAATTATACAAGTTAGCAGTGGTCCAGGTGGTGGTGGGTTGGAACTGGTACCCAGGAGGTCTAAGTCATAAGTCAGGTCTTGCCAATTCTTGACAATGATGGACAGGACAATAATGGAGGATACACTATAGCTTAGTAGTCTTCAGCTTCATTATATAGGCATAACACATTTATTACTTATCAGGTAGGAAGACAAGACATACCATTCTCTGTAAAAATATGTACTAGCATTCTAAAGAGGGAGGTAAGCCACGGTAACTAATTCACTGCCATCCAGCTGGCCTTTGTTTCTTTGGGGATGGCTATTTGAAGCTACTATTCCTCTTGCCCCATGTCCATAGATTCTAGATTCTGCCAGCTATAAGCAACATTCTTGAAATGCCTCTCCTAGCTCCTGGTGACATTTCTCCCCAGCTGGTAGCAGAAGGTCTCCAGCATTAAGCTTGTTCTGACAGGTCAGGTTCTGTGCCGGGCAGTAACCACACACCTGTACTATAGAAGTGAGTATCAGCCACCACCCTTACAGACAGTCTGTATCATCAGTCTGAACATCACTGGCCAGATGAGACAAACTCCTCTCAATAACTGAGGCTGGAGGACTGAGGCTAGAAAAGAATAGTAGAGACCCATAATTTCAGTACTTGAGAGGTGGAGGCTGAGAATTTTAGTTAGCTTGGGCTATAGTTTGTGATGGTGTCTCAAAGAAAAAACAAAAACAAAACCAGTAAAGATGATAAACCAGAAGAACTGAAAGGACTTCGTTGCAACAGAGGATTTTCGTAAGCACTATTCCTTAGCCACAGGCACCAGGGATCAAACTAGGCCCTGTTGAATAATTCAGGCTAGTCATGAACTCATACTGTCCTGCTCTGCTTCCCAAGTGCTTGAATTACAAGTAAGTGTACCACGTATCTTGGTACTAGTGAAACTTGTGCTATGCTCAAGGCAGTGTTGTGCCCTCAAGAAGAAGCCCTGAGAGGTCCACTCTTTGATTCTGCCTCTGACATGCTATCTCAGTACTGCCTGCTATTCTGCCTACTGCACAGCTTCCTGGTTATCACAGGAGGTACTCAAGGAAACCTCTACCTGGTGTAGCTTTTCAGTCCACAGAAGACTCACCAAGAGGATAAGGAGCAAAGGTGTTGGGTGAAGACTGCTGCTCTTTGGTCTGCAGGTCAGGAAGGCCGGGAGCCTGGGGATGAGGGGGGAAGCTATCCATGGCCGATTTGCCTGCAGAGGGGTGCAGAGACAGGTGCGGCGGGGGTGGCGGAGGTGGAGGCTGCTTCACAAGCAGGGCCTGGGCCAGCTGGCGCTGGTGCTGCTGGATCTGCTGCTGCAGGTTAGTGATTGTGCGCGCAACCTGGTGGAAACACACAGATACTCGTACATGTTAGCCAGGCTGAGGCAGAATGCATGGCTGATCTACAGACTGATCTATAGACTGAGGATATTCATAGCTCAGCCACTACCAGCTGGGGCCAGCTTCGTCCCAAACCTAGTTGGTCCCAGGATTTTCCAAAGCAGAGGTTCAACTGGAGAAAAGCCAATACCAAGCTAAGATTCATCCACTGGGGTTTCTTCTACTAGAATTAGACGTAATGGTAAAAGTCAGTCTGAACAACACTCACTTGCTGCTCCTGTTGTCTCATGGGTCCGGAAACATTCCGCTGGGCCTGTAACATCTGCTGCTGGATTTGTAAACGTTGGTATGCCTGTTGATAGAAAAGTTGGAGCATTATAAGAAGGCTGTCAAAACACGTGATTCAATTGCCTTTACATTCAGAAAAAAAATTCTTAGAATGATCTAGATTAAAGGCTAGATTGGCTAGACAATGTGGCAGGACACTACATTGCAAGCATAAGGTTATTGACTAATTCAAATGCTGATTTCTGTACCCCCCCTTTTCTGATTGTAATCCTTGTTTTGAGAATCTCTTGTCTCAATGTTGTATAAACACTATTCCCCAATTGTCCCCTAGTATCCCAATAAGGAAGCTTGCAGCCAATTGATGAGCAGTACAGAGAACAGGGCTAGACTTCTGCCAGCCAGGGGAGGAGGAGTTAGAGGAGGAAGTAGGGATTCAGCCACAGGCAGATGTCTAGGAGGGAGCAGGAGAGAGAGCTCATCAAGAAAACCTACAAAGTGCAAGTATCTCTGGGATGTACACTGGGAGGAAGCCAAATTAGCTTAGAAGATTAAGAATAGAGTAATAACCGCTCAGTTCTTGTGTTGCAAAGTTTGTTGAAGTAATATAAAAGAATCTCAATTTTTTGTGTGTGTGATAGCCAGGGTAAGAGAGAAACTGAGAAACAAAACAGAGTTGTATAAAAATAACTTTAATACTACAGAGCTCTATCTGATCAGCACATGAAGCAGCTCTGAAGCACTTGGATGGCCATCTCCTGGACAGCCTGGGTAAAATGAGGACAATACTCTGTGCTCATGCAGAGCTTCTTGTTTGATTATATCAAAATGTTGGCTGAATAATGACTATTTTTCGGTACAACACATATTTTGGGAGACTTCTTGGCTAGAGGACTCCTGTAGCTGCTTCCAAATGAAACAGTCCTGGATTCACAAAAGCCCTCAGTGAGGTTACACAGGCAGTCAACTCCTGCTTGGAGGAGATTACTGTGTGCAGCTGCCTGCAAGTTGTGCAGGGAGCTCAGGATGCAGCTTTTGTGAACTGCCACCTGTCCTGGGGTAGCTTTTCAGTGGCAGAGCTGCTCAGGGGCCCACACTGCTTCACTAATCTAGACTCCGGTGCAACTCTTTCTTGCAGTTGTTGTTGGGGCCCATCTGACCCCATCCAGAACCAAATAGAAGTGTACTACACTGCTAAAACTCCTCGTTAGTTCTAGATAAGGTTTTCACTTAAGTTCTAAAGCTGTAGCAAGTAATAAACTTCATTTCTCTTAATTTTTCCGGAAGAAAAATTTGTGGCCAGAATACACTAGGTGCAGACAGCCTTTTTTTTTTTTTTTTCCCCATTTCACACCACATAGAAACCCTGCTGGAAAATACACTGTGTGTGCCAGCCCCTAACTCAGTTCTGGCCTGTGACAGTGCAGCAAGCTCTGTAGCATCAACCAGACATAAACTGTGCAGCTTCCAGTCCTGGGTGCACTCACCTCCTGCTATTGTTGTCAGTCCAGGACTGACTTCCTAAGTGTGTTGCCCACTTCAGGGAGGCCTCTCTGCAGGGCCATAAGCATGTGACTCCCTAGTTAGGAGTCTAGAGACAGCCTGAGGGTGAGGCCACAAGCTGCCTAAGTCCAGAGGCCTGTGCCCCTGAGGTTAGCAAGGACACACCTATCTCTGGGACACTTGCTTTGTCCTGCTCCCTTGAATGTCAGACTCTTGCATTTCCTAGACATGTGCCTAAAAAACAACTGGTGCCAGGGATGCTTTTTAGAAGCAAAGGTCTTTGGGTAGCCTCATGCCTGGCCTTCCTCATTTCTTTTGCTTCCTTCAACTCATTTTCCAGGCAACAAAGTTCCAAGGTTAAGACTTGTATACAGCATTGGACGTATGACAGGAGTCTACCGCAGAAGGCATTTGAAAGACTCTACCTAGCAGTGTTTCAAAACAGATACTAAGACTCATAATCAAACCTTCAGCAGAAGGGGAGTTAGCATGACATGGAAAGGATAGGAGCTCCACAAGGACCAAATATATCTGGGCACAGGGGTCTATTCTGAGACTGACACTCCACCAAGGACCATGTATGGATATAACCTAGAACCTTTGCTCGGATGAAGCCCGTGGTAGCTCTGTAACCAATTGGTTTCCCATAGTAAGGGGAACAGGAACTGTTTCTGACAGGAACTCAATGGCAGGCTCTTTGACCTCCCCATCCCCCAAGGGAGCAGCAGTCCTGCTAGGCCACAGAGGAGGACTTTGCAGTCAGTCCTGAAGATACCTGATAAAACAGGGTCAGATGAAAGGGGAGGAGGTCCTCCCCAATAAGTGGACTTGGAAAGGGGCAGGGAGGAAATGAGGGAGGGAAGGTGGGATTGGGAGAGAATAAGGAAGTGGGATATAGCTCGGATACAGAGTTAATAGAATGTAACTAATAAAAAAAAATTAAATTAAATAAAAAAAAAAAAAGACTTGTATACAGATCAGATGAGCAGATACTGAAGAAGGAATGGCACACTGGTGCTTGAGTAGAGATGAATCCACTATGTGGCAGGGAAACAATGACCGCCATTTAATAGTAGAAACTTGAGAATTAAGAATTCCTGTATGTTAAATTACACAGCTTTTGAGAACTCCCAGGTCATGCGGCTGTTCTCTGACTCAGGCTCTGTGTTGGCTAAGTTTGAAAGAGGCCAAAGTAAATGCTTCTGGCATGGCAGCAACTTTTCTCGTCTATGACCCACGACAGTATTATATATACCACGCTTGGGAGAAGTGAGAAAATACTCACCCATGTGGTGTTTTGTGTCCTGTGGCTCAGAGGAGAAACTCTGAGAGATCAAAGGGACAGGTTATAGATCTGTGAGACCATGAACAGGAAGGGGCTAAGACATCTGCAGAGCTTAGAAACAATATCCTTGGGCAAAACCCTTCCTAATTCATCAACAGTCACAAGACATAGTTTGATGTGGAAAACTGTGACAGCAGCTTCTCCTATCTGCTGAGATGAGGTCTTAACTTTAGACTGCAACCATTCCACTTACCAGCTGCAGCTGATAGAGCTGGTTCAACATCGTCATATGCTGAGGGTTAATTGGCGAGGTTAATAGTGCAGGGCTGAGACCAATGTTTTTTGCTGCAAACTGCAAAAGCTGTGCTTGAACCTATTGAATAGAAAACATATTATTAACCACCATCTCTATGGAAACACTTGTCTGTGTAGCTTTGTTTCTGTACTCAAACTGGTTAACTAACAATTTTACTTAATTGACAGCTGAACTTGAGAGGCCATTAGAATATTTTATGGACATTTAAACATTAGCAATTAACATGGTCAGAATATGGAAGACAGAAACTCTTTTTAAACTACTGTATTTTTTCAGTTGGGTGTGGTGTCACATGCCTTTAATTCCAGAATTAGGGAGGCAGAGGAAGGCAGATATGTGAGTTCGAGGCCAGCCAGGTTTGCTGAGTGAGTTCCAGGACATTCAGATCTATATGGAGAAATCCTGTCTTGATAAACAGATAATTTTTTTTTTTCTTTCTTAGACAGGATCTTACGTAGTTCAGGCTATGTAGTGTGTGGCCTTGAACTCCTCCTGATCCTTTTGCCTTTACCTGCTGAATTCTGGGATTACAGGCAAGAGCGTCCAATGCCAAGGCAGTTTCTAGAAGATTTCTTCTTTTAAGTACTTTAGCTGTATATTTGCTTTCCATGGCTTGTTTATCAGAGGTAACTTTATGTCCTGCTAAAGGGAAACTCTAAGGTCTGCAGGAGACAAGATATTAATCCAGCTAACTGCTGCCTTAGCAGGAGGAAGGTACATTATTTTATATAGGCCCCAGATAGTCTCCACAGGAGTCTCTACATCCTAATACATTTAACTATTTTTCTACCAAGATCCAGCCATCTCAACTCACTGTGTAGACCTATTGTTTCTCACATGTCAACACCGTCTTTCTATGTGCTAGGAACAGGATATATGTTCCCCATATCCCTATGCTGAAACACTCACAAATGTGGTAGTCAGAAGAAGTGGAAATCTTGGCAGGGGATGGAGAGATGGCTCAGTGGTTTAAAGTAACTTTTGCTCTTGCAGTCTCAGTAGCCACAGGGTAGCTTACAACTATCTGTAAGTAACTCAAGTTCCTAGGCTTTAGATACCTTCTTCTGACCTCTTTTTGTATCAGGCACACACATGGTACACATGTACACATGCAGGCAAAACACTCATATACCTAAAACTAACTAACTAAGTAACTAACTAACCAGAGGTGGGAATTTGGGGAAGGTGACTAGGTTATGAGGGCTCTGTCCTGAGTGGGATTAGTGCCATTAACAATGATGCCCAGGGAAGCTTGCTGCTTTGCTCAACCCTCTGGATGTATAGAAGTTGCCCTTTAGGATGTATAAGCCCTCCACATGTACCAAATCCTCTGGATCCTTGCTCTTGGACTTGCAGCCTTAAGAACTACAAGCTACTCATTATTCATTTCAACAAAGTGCACAGCAATTTAAATTTAACGTTACAAGTGATGGTAGTTGAAGGACTAGCATGCTCTCTTTTAAAACAAATAGAGTTCTTCAGAAATCCCAAGTATCATCTTGGTAATAGTGGTCTTATAAAAGTAGCTTGTCTCTGTCAGCAGAGTAATAGTAAGGTGGGGCTTCAGGACACTCTTACTCTTTCCAGGCAGGAGCCCATGATTACACATTGACTAGAGTACTGGTTACCTCAGGTCAAGACATTATCAATATGAACTAACTGATTACTAATTTTCTTAATGAGGGATAAAGAATGTCATTCTGTGGGAGGCAGAGGCAGGTGGAGTTCACTCCTGTGAACTCTCTGTGGGTTCAAGGCCATTCAGGTCTACAGAGAGAGTTCCAGGACAGCCAGAGATACACAGAAAAACCCTGTCATAACAAACAAAAACAAAAAGAGCATTAAGTAATTAAAAATAACCCAAAGGCTAAAATTATTATTCTAAAAGTAAACAGTGCCAATGTGAAAAAAGATGATAGATCTAGTGCTACTTTCTTTACTTCTGCTCAACCTTTAAGACTCTCTATCAGGGGGCTGGAGAGATGGCTCAGAGGTTAAGAGCACTGACTGCTCTTACAGAGGGCCTGGGTTCAGTTTCCAGTACCCATATGGCAGATCACAACTGTCTACAACTCCAAGATCTGACACCCTCATATACAGACATGCAAGTGGGCAAAACACCAATGCACATAAAAAAAAAAAAAATCTCTATCAGTCTTCAGAATGCCATGATAGTCCTAAGGGTACAGCAGTGGCACACATACCTTGGTGGACACCAACAAATCTCTACTTGTACTTAAGGCCCATTCAACAAGAGAAAAATTGTGCCTGGTACTGGAAACTAGCCAATTACCCAGTAAATGGCCTCTCCACCAACATAATGAATTTAACTGAGTCAAATTCAGAGTAAAAAAGGTAGGTTTACTGAGGGCAGATCTCAGAGAGTTCACTAACCTCACAGGAGGGCCTGTGAAGTCGAAAGACTGGGCTGGGGTAGGAGCTTCTTAAAGGGGAGAGGGAGGGAGTGACAATGTGATGGTGAGGTACTGGGGTTATAGCTTTATTTGGTAAGTTTAGGGTCCTGTAGGTAGGTCTTGGGTCCAGAGGTCACTTTGGAAGCTGGAGCTAGGAGCTGGCTTTGTCCAGTGTCTTGAAAAAGCTTTTGCAAGTGTGGGCTACTGGTCAAAAGGGAAGGGCAGGAACCCCTTGACTTTTTCTCCAAACCTGCAGCCTAACACCTGGAACTAGTGAAGTCATGGATCTTGGAGCACCTACAACCTACACTTTACTAAATCAGCATAATCCCTAACTAGAGACATTTGCCCATATACCACAAGTGCGTGTAGTCCTCACCCCTCATCAGTGGACTGTCTCTTTTCAACAGACTCAAGACCATTACAGAAAAGCACAATGGATCAAAACTCAAACTGTGGAATACAGTCCCAACTACTATGTCTGCAATGTACCTCCTGAGCCTAGGGCTCAGGGATCACTGCAGAAGGAGGCTGGAGGTTGAAAGAGCCAGACAAACAAGAAGTTTGGTGTCAGTGTGAGGCTGTCTCTGAGAGTGTCAGAGCAACTGCACACGTGCAGCCTCATCAACATGGCTGCCTACATATGAACAAGGACAACAGACATGCTGCTGTGCAAAGGGAAAGATCATAAGGCTTCAGCTTTAGACAAAGAACTACAGACAAGGAATGCTGAGAGTAGAAGAAAAAGTTTTCCCCAGGGAAAGATACAACAATTAGTTATACAATACCAAATGGTTAGTCTTGAAAACACACACACAAGTAACATTATAGAAAATGAGCAGGTTATAGTTATATATATTTAAGATTTTACACACACACACACATACACACACACACACACACACAACCACCAACCAATAACAACAACAAAGAAAAAGAGGCCAAAAATTTGTGTGATTTTTTTTTTTTTTAAACAGGATCTTGCTCCTGGCTGGTCTTGAATTCACAGAGACCCTCCTACTACTAAGAGGCCATACATGTGAATGAGAGCAAGGGTGGAGGGAGGAAAGTGAAGAGAGGAAATAATGTAATCCAAAACACACACACTTATCTCAAAATTCCTGATGCACATCATTAATCCCAGCACTTGGAAGGTGGAGGCAGAAGCAGATGGATCTCTGTCAGACCAGCCTGGTCTACAAAGACCACGCCTGGTTTTCAAAAAGGAACAAACACACACACAGTGCTGTCTAGTTTCATGTCAACTTGATACAAGCTAGAGTCCATCAGAGAGGAAGGAGACTGAGTTGAGAAAAAAAAAAAAAAAAGCCTCCATGTTGACAAGACTGGAGGGCATTTTCTAAGTTAGTGATTGGTGGGGATGGAGGACTCAACTCACTGTGGGTGGGGTCAGCCCTGGGCTGGTGGTCCTTCATGAGCAGGCTGAACATGCCACAGGGAACAGACAGTAAGCAGCACCCTCCGTGGCCTCTGCATCAGCTCCTGTCTCCAGGGTCCTGTCTTATTTTCTTTTAATGATCAACAGTGATTTGGAAGCAAAAGCCAAATAGACCCTTTTTCCCCCAACTTGTCTTTGGTCATCATGTTTCATAACAGCAATGATAACCCTAACTAGGACATAAACAACAGTAAAACACCCCCCCCCCCAAAAAACAAAAAAAAAAAAAAAAAAAAAAAAAACCCCCCCCCCCCCCCAAAAAAAAAAAAATCTTACCAGGCAAAAAAGATCAGCTGCCTCTCCATTGCTGAAATTAAAGGCATGTGCCATCATGCCTGGTACACACACAAGCACGAGCATACCCACACCTACACCCACTCTCTCTCTTACATACAATTCCAACTGCTGTCTCACTAAAGTATCACTTGTCCTGATGGCCTTCTTAATGTTCTGTATCAATAGCAATCACTTGTTTTCATTCTCAATAACCTAGGAATACTATCAGGTTTATCACAGTAATTTCCTCAAGCCAGATCTAGATAAACACCATATCAAGCAGTGTGTAAGGCTTATTGGGTCAGACCTGAGGGGATAGAAACTGAGGCACTTGAGCGCGGAGGCTGGGCTGGGAGGAATTAAGAGGCTGCACTGGCGGCTGCTGCATGGTCCTGGCTTGTGCTGCTCCGCTATTGCCAAACACACCCAGATTGCCACTCGGGATCTGTAGGAGACAGAACAGCTGTTAGGAGGTGGGGGAGGCAGGCCGGGGAAGGGTGAAGTGATAGGTTTCCTACTATGAATGTCAAGGTTTCTTTTGTTTCCTGCCCCTTCAACCTGGTCCCTAAGTGCACTTTGGATGAACGCTGTTTCTACAGGTTATGGAGGATGGAGAAGTCAGCTTAGGGAGCTGCCTATGATTTTAAATCACAGGACACACACATTAACAGTGGGTTTTAAAGTGTCCCCAAACAAGGCTGCCACAGTTAAAGAGATAATTAAGAATGTTTAAAAAAATAACAGTAATAAGATATGGTCTGGGGGGCCGGAGAGATGGCTCAGCAGTTAAGAACACTGTTCTGCTCTTCAGAGGTCCTGAGTTCAATTTTCAGCAACCACATGGTGGCTCACATCTATCTATGTGATCTGATGCCCTCTTCTGTCATGTAGGCATACATGCAGATAGATTGCTCATGTGTATCAATAAATAAATCTTTTAGAAAAATGACCTCCTTGGTTTAAAACTAACAAACAAAAAACCCTATGGTCTGGGTGACACATTTCCTTCCCCAAAGGCTGTGTGCAGTCAGGCAGAGAGAGCGTGTGGTGATCACTGGTGAGCAGGCAGAAAAGTCATAGTGTAGTGGGAAATTCGGCAGTTACTCCAACAAACCCCGAGGCTGAATCAGTCAGCAAAGTCCGATCAGTTAACCTGGTGTCCAACATAGCACTATGCTTGGGTGTGTTCTCCACACTGGCCCAAGCCAGCTGGCTGACAGGTTGGAGCACAATGCCTATCTCTGTTGGAAAATTGAGAGGCAATGAACAGCAGAGCCTGCTAAGTAAGTCTATGCTGTGCCGCTGACACAGTAGAGTTTAAACTTGCTGCTAAACTTCACCAAGGAGCTGCTAAGAGCCAACAGGTCCACAACAATCCTGTAGGGACCACAGGCACTCTAGGGACCATTCAGTCTCTTCACAGGCTCTCAGGTCTCTGAGTTTCTTTCCTGGGACCTCTCATACAGAACATGAAAGGGTGAAGCAGCAAGAGGCTCTGCAAATTTCATAGAAGTCCCTTCTGTTTCTGGGGAGAGGGACCCCATGGTGAAGACCTGTTACTAACACCCCAGCACTTCAATCACAGCAAGTCAGTATGGAGTGCAGAGAAGAGAGCAAATATACGCCACTTTTGTTCAGTGTAGAAACAATGCTATAGTGCGGCTAAGTGTCAAGAACTGTCACTCAGTTTTGAGCTTCCATGAACACTTCAAGGGGAGTCCTGAGAGCATTTCAGTAGCTTTGCATATTCCCTTATATTCTAAGATCACAGTATCAACTGAAATAGTAGTTTATTGTCTAAGGGTATGAAAAGTCATGAGAACAAATGCAGGCCACTGCCTGCTGTTTCCCAACAGCCTTACCTGTCTAGAAGAGTTCAAGTTTTGCATGCCCAGCCCTGAGGCAATCCCACCCAGGGCCTGATTGGGGAGTGCACTGTTGGAAAGGGGGAGCTTCAGGCTTGGGGAAGGCAAAAACGGTGAAGTCGTGGGCTCTTCCACGAGGCCGCCATCCTGATTGGAGAAAGAAAGGGTGAGCTGTGTGCAGTGTCCGCCAGCACACAGAGCACCAAACAGTTTCCCACGGAAACAGTGGGGGGGCAGGGAGATGGATGGATTAAAAAATTGAACGATAAAAAAAAAAAAATGTGTGGATAATGAGGGAATGGAGGGCATGGGCAAAAGGAAGAGGAAAAAAGAAAGAGAGAAACAGGATTAAGATGCTGCTTTTGTTAAGACACTGACAAGCACATACTTCAGTTTCTAGCATTCTCCCCACTCTACTGCCCTGGCCTGGCTGGTGTGGGGAAGGGACAGACACAGCAGCAAGTCTAGTCTGCAGATTCCAAGAGCACCATTCCTTAGGGAGTCCAGCTTCCACCTTCGCTTACTTAGGGAGTATGTAAAAAGAAAATGCAACTGACTTCAGTTGTACTGAGGTTCCACGAAGTGCCAGGCTCTGCAAATCTAGCCTCTTTTCTAGCAGCACAACCTATAGCAGGTCATTCCACACTTTACAGAGAGCCCCCTCTGCACTTCCTAACTGCACTTCCAGATTCAGCAAACAAAAGTGAAGAACTAGAACCCTGAACTCGAGGCTGTGGAAGGCGAATAATGCTCATGGGGAACTTGAGAGAAATCATTTTTAATGGAAATGTACTCCTGACACAAGCCACAGCTAGTCTGTCTGTGCAGAAGATGAGGAGACTCTGGGAGCAGCACGTCCTGTTGAGGTGTCGGGGGCCCTTCCAGGAACAGAACTTGGATGGAGTCTGGGCTCCAGGGCATGGAAGGCAAGGAATCCACCACTTAGCTAACATCCCCAGAAATTTTCCCTTTACTTGGAGGCAGGGTCTTGTTCATAGTATAAGGTGGCTGTTGAACTTCAGATTTCCCTGCCTCAGTTTCTTGAGAAGCTGGGAACTACAGGTTAGTGTTACCTTTCCTTTTTTTTTTTTTTTTAATTTTTTTTATTTGTCTTTTCTTGCTTCAGTTTTATTTTCAGTACCGAAGTTGAATTAATATGATGTTTTCTCCTTTTAGAGTTCCACCACTCTGATGAAGGGATACCCTCCTATGAAACACTAATGGAGGACAGAGCTTTGACTGGACTTAACGCATGTAGGGAGATTCTCACAGGTACTGAATGTGGCCACTGACAAGAAGGGCCAGCTAGACATAAGTGCTGAACCCCACCATTCTTTTTTTTTTTGAGACGGTTTCTCTGTGTAGCCCTGGGGTGTCTTGGAACCCACTCCGTAGACCAGGCTGGCCTCGAATTCAGAATCCGCCTGCCTCTGCCTACCAAGTGCTGGGATTAAAGGTGTGCACCACCACCACCCAGCTTACCACTCTTTTTCTAAGGTTAAAGCTGCTATGTATCATTTCCAATGGGAAGAACAGAGTATTCCAAGCAAGAGAGAAAAATGTGTTGACTCTGGCTCACTGTATAGCTGAGCAGAAAAACTGTCAAGTTCACATACTAACAGGGAGTCAGTGCTCAATTCCAGCACTTTTCACTCCTTGTGATACTGTATGTGATGCATGCAACAGTACCTCTGAGGTAAACTTTTTTTAATTAAACATTCTTACACGTTAGGGAAATAGTGGTAAAAATCACTTAACCTCAAAACTTTGCATCTGACTTACATTAAGGACGCAGCTCAAATAAAAAGTCTTTTTGTTGGAGGCAGAACTAAGATAGCTGCCTAGATCCCTACCTTGTCAAGGAAGGTGGGGCGGTCCATGGAAGACTCTTTGGAGATTGGTGGGCGGCAGCCGAGGGGTTTGGTGACCATTCCATTGTAGTCGGTCATTCCCAGTCCACGTTTGTCCATGTCCACCTTCTTTTCCAGCAGAGCACCTGGGGGACAACATATTGAGCAACACTGAAAACAAATGAGCACAGAATAGGTGGTAGCAATGGCCTCGGGAAGAAGGATGTCAGCTGGCTGCTAGCAAGGAGCAGGGGCATCATGAGCCTGAGCTGCTCCCCCGCCCCAGGACCTGCCTGCACACCTATGATGGGCCCCTGCTTAAGCTGCTCCTGTCCATTATGGCCACACTGCTCTCTGCTAGCCCCTAGGGAGCTCAGCCATCTATCATCCTCTCCCCTGGGATGAACTCCTCTGCTCCCCAGGTCTTCATGCACTTGCTTTCCTCCTCCAAGCCACCATCCTAAGGTCTTTCCAATGACGTGGCCTGAGAAAACTCCCCACTCATGGCCAGTCCATTCACTGCCTGTTGGGGGAAGCTTTTGGCCTAGTGAGCTGTGTCTGGGTTACTTTAATTGTACTACAAAAGTCTAAGCAGTTGGACATCACTGCTTCAACCTTCTTGTTTTCCCTGCCTTGCAGTATGCACAGCATGTGTTGGCATTTTTACATAACATACTATTGTCTGTTCCCATCATACACAGATTCTGTACTCGTTCATGTGGCCCCCGAGCTTGTCACTTGTGGACCCCTGTAAGTTAGTAAAAACACTTTTGCCAACAAATGTGCAATTCACGTCAGACAAAGCAGTGTTCTGCATTCTTACTAGACTGTACAATGAAAAGGGTCTGTGGTGCCTTTAGTGCTACATTCTCCAGAGCTGTGTGGTTTCTGTTGATTATGGTGTTAAAAATGGCCCCTAATGTAGTGCTATGTGGCATTCTTACTGCAAGAAAGCTGGCTGTGCCTTGCAGTGCCAGGTCATTTTCTTTCAGGTGTGAGCTGCATCACTGTGGCTTGTGAGTTGGTACTAGCAAATCCCAGCAGAGAAATCAAGGAGGAAAGGATCTCACTGGTGAAGCTGCTCCCAAGGTGCTGACTAGAGCTACCGACAGGTACACAAGCAGGCGCACTGACACTGCAGTGCGGCTCAGCAATAAAGGTGTTCACTCTGCACGTTTGGTAACCTCAGTCTGACCCCCAGAATCCAAGTAAAAGTTGAAGCTGAAACCTAACTCCACAGGAGTTGTCCTCTGACCCCCACACATGTGCCTACACATACTTCATGCACATACACAATTAAAATATGCATGATGGACAGTACAGCTGGGAATCTGGGTACAAAAAAATTGCAACCACATTACCCCCTGTCAGAAGACACTATGTCCTGACTAATTCACATTTTATTACAAAAACATGTTAAAGTGTTCTGAAACACATACAATAAGGATATGTGTGGTTAACAGGCTTGTGGGGGCCTCCATAGGGTCAGCCCAGAAGAGAGCTCTGTATTGGTTAAGGTAATGCTAGTACTGGCTTTAGAAAATGGATGGCCTCCACAGAGATCTGCTTGCTTCTGTATCCTGAGTGTTGGGATTAAAGACATACTCTTCCACACCCAGCTAAAATTGTCATTGTAAACTACAATTTACAGAAAATTGTTACAAAAATAATTTTTTGGTAGCTCAAGAACTTGTTACTTGTTCCCTGATACTTCTGGCACTGTGTCTGCCAGACTGTTGCAGGTCAAGAATGGATGGGCGCGCTCTGTCGGGCCTGGGATGTTAGCACTACACAATGCAGATGAACAATGTTAATCTTATCTGTCAACTGTACTGGACTGAAAAGCCTACGTTAGAACAGCAAATCTCTGTGTGTGCCTGAGAGTGGTCTCAGACACAATCTAAGATGAGGAATACATTACTTCCTCTATGAATTCATAATATGACAACATTACTAGAAGACAGTAAAATAGACGGGGCCTAGTGGGGAAAGCAGGTCACTAGTGTGTGTGTGTCCTTGGGGCCATATTTTTCCCAAATCTCTTCCTGTATTTCTCTATAGGAATTGAAGAAGATTGTTCACCACATGTTCTTGTCATCAGGAGGTTCTTGCCCAAGTGCAAAGGGTCAATGACTATGGACTGAATTTTCTGAAACTGTCAGCCAAAAGAAATAATTCTTGCCTTTAAGTTGTTTTTGCCAGAACAACAAGAAGAGCTAAACACAACCCATTTATTTGTTGAAGTACTAGCAAAAAAAAGGAACAAAAGGCAACTTGCCGTATGATTGGTGTGTCCTGTGGTTGCTCTTTTCCTGAGCCTGATTTGTTTATCCTCCTCCAAGTTTAACAATGACTATAAGCAAATGGTTCTACAAAGCAAAACTTCCCCAGAGACACCTGGGAACAGATGCCCTATCACTTACTCATGGCCTGGTCAAGGTTCATACTGTTGCTCTTCAAGGCCTCTTCAGCTGGCTCTCTCTGGGGGTGGGAGAGACAAAGCAGACCTCTTATTAGCAGCGCACAGAGACAGACAACCAGAGTAATTCCTGAACATCTCAGCACTCCAGCAGAGGAAGCGGCTACTAGTATTAGTTTTTTGAACTGGAAACGTTTTCTTCTTTTGTTGAGGTCAGACAGTGTCTTTTTATCTTAAAGACAAGGTTTCACCAGGCGTGGTGGCTCATCTATATGTAGACCGTGCCTTTGCCTTTTGAGTGCTATAGAGATGATATCGTGTAGACAGAAAACACTTGTAGCTAACTAAAAATTATTGTACTGTCCCTAGAAGGGAGAGTCAAGAACTTGTATTTAGCTGGACACTGCAGCTCATCTCAGCAGACAGCTCTCTATGCATTTGAGACCTAATGTCTCTACACAGTGACATCTTGTCTCAAAAAGGAAGAAAACTTGTACTTAAAATCCTAGAAATGCATGGGATTCCAGGAAGCCTGTAAGCACCCGACACTGCTTTCTGTACAGCACTGAGCAGTGACAATTCTGAAGAGCTGCAGAGGGGTGGACTCTCCACATGCAGGTCCCTGTCTTATCTGCCTCTGAGTGTCAGGACATATGGAACATCAATCTTTTGTTGATGCCAGCCTCTATCATTTAAACTTTCTCCCAAGAAAGAAAAAAAGAATCAGATCAGATTCATGCTGGTAACTGTCAACAGACTAACTTCTGAAGAAAATCAAAGTTGCTTGCTAGGGGCTGGAGAAATGGCTCAGCAGGTAACAGCTACAACCATTCCCGCAAAGGAGCATAGTTCAGTTCCCAGCATCACACTTGGTGGCTTACAAATGCCTGTAGCAACTGCAATCCCAAGAAAGCTGACATGTTGTTCTCTGGCCTCTGCAGGCACCACATTCATACATACAACCCCCACACACATGCATACACACGAGAGCATGGCTGCTCTTCAAGAGGACCTGGGGTAGATTCCCAGCCCCCACATGGTAGCTCACAACAGTATGTGACTCCAGGTTAAGAAGACCTTCTGAACTCCGAAGGCAGCAGACACACACACGTCTGGGATACAGATATAAAGCAGACAAATACCACATACATAAACAAATTAATCAATCAAAAAATAAAAATAAGGGCTGGAGATATGGCTCAGAGGTTAAGAGAGCTTACTGCTTTTGCAGAGGACTTGGGTTCAGTTTCCAACACCCACAATGTGGCTCACAGCCATATGTAATTCCAGTTCCAGGTGATCCCGCATCCATTTCTGGTCTTTGTAGGCTCATAAACTCATATAGGCTCACACACATGTACATAAATTTAAAAATAAGTTAAATATCTGAAACAAATTTAAAAAAAAAAAAAAAAAGGAAAAGAAAACCAAAGCTGTTGGGGGTGGAGCATACTGTGATGATGCCCACTACAATATTTTCCGGACCTTCTAGGGAGAGGTTCCATAGGGTAGTGGTCTGCTTAGCTTACACAGTACCAGGTGCGAGGCCATTCCGGACCTTGTCTGTTTTAGGCACATATACAGTGACTGAGTGATAGATGCACACAGGAGCAAGGACTTGGCAGGGAGTTGTGAAGAGCCTAGTCTGCTCTCTGGCTGCTATCACCTGACCTGAGAACTGAGAGGCTGAGGTGCATCTTCAGGGGACATCTGGGACACCTGAGCTTTGAACCTGGGAGTCATCCGACTTGGTAGGCTGCTGTAGGGAGCTGTGATGCTTAACTGTACTCAGCTTCTTGCTGGATCTTTTCACTTAACTACATAAGAAATGAAACTCACTTGTAATTAATTATAAATCATAAGGAAATATGAAATTGTCTAAGTCTATGGAAATTACAAGTCATACATAGTCTTTTATTTAGGAAAAGGCATTCTTAATGGAATTGAGTGATTCTTTGCTGTACTTAAGGACCAGGCCAAAGGGAACTCAACAAAGAATTAGATAGTGACTTCATCCGCAAAGCATCCCTGCCTCATCACACAGCAGACTGGCGAGGGAGTGTTTTTGGGTTGTCCATGTGAATAGTGGGGCAGGAACATCAGGATGCCAGTTACCGGGAAGCCCATGTCTGTGAGTTGTTTGATCAGCCGGCTCATGATCCAGGCCTCATCCTGCTTGCCAGGTGTCTTCATGCCCTGGAACAGAATGGGCCAGGAGTTACTTTTAACGTGTCTTAGAAATAGGCGCCAGCACCTGGTGGTAGTGACGCATGTCTTTAATCCCAGCACTCAGGAGGCACAAGCAGGAAGAGTCTCTGAGTTCAAGGCCAGCCTAGTTTACAGAGCAAGTTCCAGGATAGCCAGGGCTACACAGAGAAAACCTGTCTCAAAAAAATAAACAAACAAACAAAAAACAATTCAAAAACAAAACAGAAATGAACCAGAGAGATGGCTCAGCAGTTAGAAGCAGTTAGAAATGAGTATGCGTGCAAACACCCATACTCGAAAGAAAGAAAGAAAGAAAGAAAGAAAGAAAGAAAGAAAGAAAGAAAGAAAGAAAGAAAGAGAGAAAGAAAAGAAAGAGAGAAAGAAAAGGGTGATAGGACAAGCTCAGTGACTGCAACTATAGAATCAGTGAATTAACACTCAACTGTGCTGTTCCTCCAAGGCCCACATTATCTGGTAGGTAACACTGTGGATACATTTGCAGGCTGGTTAATGTGTGTCATTTATGGTTTCTCTTTTTATACAGTTACTTGTGTCATCACAGTATCTATTATATCCGTGGGTCACAAGGAATGCCTCTGAAGCTCAGCACTGGCGTTTACCAAAGACAATGGGTCTTGCCCTGTATAAGCTTTATTTTCAACAATGACAAAATGCAGCTGTCTTGTTCCAATGAGGTAAAAGAGCCACATGGGAGAGTTAGAGTAAGCCTGTTGCTTTTACTAGCTCTCTGTCCTTATCCATACTCTGGCCTTAGGTGAGAGGAAAGGAACATGAAGGAAGATGTTAAAGAGAGGAGAAAGGCAACCACAGACAAAGGACAGCCCAGGGGCAGGGGCACAAAGGGTGCCACAAGAACCAGGCATCTAAGACCAAACAAAAACCACACTAAAAACCCCACTCTTCTTTTGAAGAATTCTCTTCAGCATGTTTGCTTTCCTCTTTCCTCATTTCCTTTCCCTGTTTTCTTCCCTCCCTCTCTTCCTGTTGAGACAGGGACTCAAGTAGCCTAGGCTGGTTTTAAACTTGCTTTATAGCTGAGGATGAATCTGAACTCCTGATCCTTCAGTCTTCACTGCCCAAGCATGGGATTACAGCTGTGCACCACACACTTTTCCCCCTCGAGCCTGCTGTAATGCCAGGAGGCATTCTGAGCCCTAGCAAGCAGCTCACCTGGAAGGCCTGCCAGGGCCAGACCCTATTTCTATTGTTTACTACTCTCAGGTTTCAGGTCCTGTGGCAGCTGGATCGCCCAGCCTCACTGCAAAACAACTTCTCTTCATGTCTGCAATCATTTCTACTTCTTATCAACAGACAGGCTGATTTCAGTTTTAGGTTCTGCTTGGTGCTTAATAAAAGCTTTTAAAAAAACTTTAAAAAATCACAATAAATTCATAATTCTAAATTACAAAAGAGACAAAGTGAAAAAGTCCTCCACACTATCCCGTCTGTTCAGATCCTGATCTCTCCAAGAAGTCTTTCTTTGAAGATTCTTATCTCTATATCCAGAGGGGAGAAAATGTGGCACAGTGTACGGAAGCTGCTGCATGTGCACACAATGATTTCCCCTTTCATCTTCCTACAAATTGGTGGCCTGTGCTCGATACTGTTCTCTCTACTTTGCCTTTTCACTAGACAATATGGTTTATTGGTATCTTTGTAAGAATAGATCAAGTGTTTCGCTCCTCACAGTAGGCATCTAAGGCCAGTAAGGATGTATAGATAGATTCTAACTGGTTGAGGCACTAAAGCACACTCATTTTCATGTCTGACGACAACAATGTTACTAAAGAATTACAAATGCCCATGGCAAGGGCAGTGCTATGACAACAGGCACTAGTGCACAACTGCCAGCAAGGTGCAGTGAGAGCTGATGTCCCACAGCCCAGGGAACATATCAAGCTTGTGTTTCATTCACTTTCCTGCTCTCATCATGACAACTGAGCAGCCCAGCTACTAGTGGTGATTAGCCAACTTCTGGATCTCTGCTGGTCTGAGATGAAAAACAGTACCTCTCACCTTTTGTTGAAGTGGCCTTCCGAGAATTGGGATGGCCATCCTCTTATATGCTGGACAGCAGCTTGCATTCTCTTCCGATCACCTCATCATTTTTACATTCTTTGCTCATTTTCCTTTGGACTATTAGATACTTTTAAATGTCAGGGAGATCAGCTTTTTCTATGATGTAAATGATATTCCCCCTAACTACTCCCTCATAGTCTCCTGGCTTTAATTAATTAGGGTGTTACCTGTTATATACAGCTTTTATGATTTTGTTGTAGTCCATATACTACCTCACTCCCCCAAAAAAAACTTGAAAAAGAATTTTATTTTTCAAGACAGGGTTTCTTTATGTAGCCTTGGCTATCCTGGAGCTCACTCTGTAGACCAGGCTGGCCTCAGTCTCATAGAGATCTGCCTGTCTCTGCCAGAGTGCTTGAGCTTAAGGGGTGTGCCACCACCTCTCAGTGAAAAAGACAAATTTTTGTTAATATGAAAATAGTTTTGTTTTTGTTTTACGAGACTGGGTTTCTGTGTAGTCATGGCTGTTCTGGAACTTACTCTATAGACCAGGCTACCCTCAAACTCAAGAGATCGGCCTGCCTCTGCCTCCCAAGTACTAGGATTAAAGGCATGCACCACCATGCCCAGTCCTGAAAATAGTTTTGATCTTGCCAATGTAGCATAGAAGAGATGAGAGTCTCAAGACTACCAGAGGGAGTTCTGCTTTCCCAGCAAGCACTGGGCCTGCCTAGCCTACAGGACAGCCCTCCTGGCCTCCCCAGCAGCACCTACCTTCTGAAGTCCTTTTTTTGAGGCATTGCCCCAGGAGGAGCAGGAGGAGCTGCTTTCTTGGGAGGCAGCATTATTCCACATGTCTCCGTCCTCATCCTCCCACTGGCTGGTGCCCAGGTTCATTTCGTCCCCACCACTGCCCCAGCCTTCTTGCATAGATTTGGAAGCTGGAAGACAGCAGACAGGAACTAGTCAGACTCACCTTCCTGAGAAGAAACCCCGTGTCACCATAACAAAAGAGGGGTAGGGAAAACAGAGACTATATTATCTTTTAGCTATTTTTTTTTCTCTTAGACAGGTATAAGATATATGTGTAATGTTTTCCTTTGTAACTCCAGCTATGCTGTTTCAGACTTCCTCCATAAACCACACATCATTTGGACACACTGGTATTCTAAAAGAAGTCCTGAGAGATTACAGGGGAGGTAGCAGTCTCTTCACAGCATGAAAATGCCACTCAAACGTGGACTCAAGATGGGTGGGGGGGTGGTGCTCAAAGAGACTACTGAATTTTCTTTCTCCTCTTAAAAACAAAAAAAAAAAAAAACAAAAAAAAAAACTAGTCTTTTTTTTAGGTGTCAAAGCTACCCCACATTGTTTTTCTTCTCACGTGGAAGCAGGTTGTTAAAGGCTGGAGAGAAGCTCAACAGTTAGGAACACTTCCTAATCTTCTAGAGGACCTGAGTTTGGTTCCCAGAATCCAAGCTCAAAACTCACAATTGCAATTTAAAATCACCTCCAGGATCTCTCTCTCTCTCTCTCTCTCTCTCTCTCTCTCTCTCTGAGGGCACCTGCATACATCTGGCATACATTCAACATAAATATAAACTCATGAACATATTAAACATACACACATCTTTTGGTTTTTTGTTTTGTTTTTTGAGACAGGGTTTCTTTGTATAACATCCCTGGCTACCCTTGGAACTTGCCTTGTAGACCAGGCTGGCCTCAAACTCACAGAGAGATCTGCTTGCCTCTGCCTCCTGAGTGCTCGGACTAAAGGTGTACACCACCACACCTGGCTAACTTTTTTTTTTTTTTTTTAAGAGGACACCGACAATTTGGAACGCTTCACGAATTTGCATGTCATCCTTGCACAGGGGCCATGCTAATCTTCTCTGTATCCAATTTTGTCTGAGAACAAAAGCTAACAGTAATAGAGTGCCTCAAAACAATACCCATATTTTGACATCCTGAATTTATTTTTTTTCTCTAGATTTTTAACCAAAATTAACAAGAATGGAATAAGAATTTCCATAACAGTGGCCATATGAACCATATATCCACTTTCAGCAAAGCAGTAAAATAGAAAATGTTGCATTTAGGTGGATCTCTGTGAATTTGAGGCCAGCCTGGTCTACAATAAAAATAAAAATAAAAAAAGGAGAAAGCTGCCTTTAAGATCTCAGGACAAAGCACTTTAATGTCAGCTCTTGGGAAGCAGAGACAGCAGGAGCTCTGTGAGTTTGAGACCAGCTCAATCTACAGATTAAGTTCCAGGCCAACCAGGGCAATATAGTGAGACTCTGCCTCAAATAAATCAACTAATTAATCAATCAACTAATCAATCAAACAGCCTAAGACACACATCTAACAACAAATAACAAAAGCAGAACAATTGCAACCATGGAATAGTTCTCTGTTGGTATAATGTTCTTTTGGAATGTATACAATTTACCCCACTCTCTGGCTTCAATCAGACACTGCATTGTGATGTTTATTCTAAGCATCACCTGTCTCAAGTCTGTGTAAATATGCCACCATTTGTTCTCGGTATTGTCAATAAAACAACCAGCTAATGCTGTGCAATGGAGAGAATAGGGTGGGATATCCTGGTCTGGAGGGAAGAGAGGGAAGTGAAGGAAGGAGAGCAGAGATCGGGCAGGACAGGACTTGGAACCACAAGGGGAGATGAACCGGACCTAAGATATGACTAAAAGCAAGCATAATGGGTGAAATCTGAATGGTAGGAAACCATGCGGGCTTGGAGGTTTAGGACGGAGTAACTATTGCCCAGCATTGCACTCTAGGTAAATTTAAAAAAATCCTAGTCTCTGTGCGAGGATTTGGGTATACAGCAGGTTTAGGAATAACCACTGCTTAACTAAAAGGTAAATCAATAATATTAATAACCCACCACAGTTCTCTTTCAGAACAGAATTGTAACCCAGGGCCTTACAAAACGCTAAGCAAATCTGCTCTACTATCAGGCTGCAGCCTGTGCTCACCTTTGCTCAGTGCTTTTAGGTACAGGTATGAATACCCAAAACAGAATTTTATTTTCAAGATCAAAGCAAAACAAGAAATGTCCCATTACTATAGTTTCAAAACCTAATTCCAAGAAGAAACCAATGCCATCACTTACTCAACTTGTTTGGTGCAAAGAATTGACATGGGTGGGTAGAAGATGTTACACGTGGTTGAAGGTTTATCACTATAATGCTTGGTACCACAATGTTTCAGATTTCAGACTAAGATATATTAGAAACCAGAAAGTAATTTATATTTCATATATAATTTATATGTATTGCCTAAAGAAAATTTTATTTACTATCTGCAGTTCTAGGGGCTGAGTTTGGGTAGAGTCTGTTCAAGCTAGGCAAAACTACCCAACCACATGAAAGGAACTTTTAAGACTGTGTGTGTTTGTGTTATCAGGACCCCAGACAAGCCAGTCAAGTACTTTGGCACTGAGCCAACAGCCTGGTGGTGGCGGTGGCAGTAGTAATACCAACAATAGTTATTAATAGTGTTGTTTTTTTTTTTTTTTTTTTCAGACTTCACTACATAGCCTTAGCTGCACGGCTGCCCTAGAACTCACTGCATAGACCAGACTGGTGTCAACTCCTCACGCCTCTGCTGACATGAAAGGCGTATGATACCACGCCAGGCTCAGCCTGGTGATTTTATATAGTAGTTTTAGGTGCTGTGTGGTGGTTTCACCAGATGTGCTGCCATGCTCAGGAGTACCCCAGTCTCCAGAGCTGTAAGAAATAAGGTTCTTTTTTTTTTTTTTTTTTAATATTTTAACTTCCTTATACATGGTTTTTGCATTTTTTTCTTTTACAGAATTTTTATTTTAGCTTTTCCATGTCCATATAGTTACAATTTACCTTTTTAAAAATTTTTAATATTAATTAGTTTATTTACTTTGTATACCAGCTGTAGGCCCCTCCCTCATTTCCTCCCAATCCCACCCTCCCTCCCTTATCTCCTCTCTGCCCCTCTCAAAGTCCACTGATAGGGGAGGTCCTCCTCCCCTTCCATCTGACCCTAGCTTATCAGGTCTCATCAGGACCGGTTGCAATGTCGATGTACTTTTTAGTCTGCCTAGAACTATGATACAACACATGAAGTTAAATGTGGAATTTTCTACTTGGGAGTGTCATGTTGTTTAAAAGTACCAAATTTTAGAGCATTCTGGATATCATAAAAACGAATGTTCTGTGGGTTTTATTTTTTTTTATTTTGAGACAGGGCCTGAATATGTAGCTATGGCTGGCCTAGAACTCACAGAGATCTTCCTGTGTCTGCCTCCGGAGTGCTAGGATTAAAGGTGTGCACTAACACGCCCCAGCACATAGGAACTTAATCAAAATACATGTTCTTCTTTGAAAAATACAAATACTGCTTTACAGTCTTGGTTTAAGGTTTAAATTGTACGTTTAAAGATACTGAGGAAAAGCATTCTAACACTTAGCATGCTAAGGTATCAGCTTCAATTTCCAGCATCACTCCCCTCCAAAAGCTAAATTAAAAAATTGTGTTTAAAAGAAAAGCATGCTAAACTGGGTTTTGGTGCACGCCTTTAATCCCAGCAAAGTCCCAGGAGGCAAAGACAGGCAGGTCTCTGAGTTTGAGGCCAGCCTGATCTACAGAGTTCTAGGCCAGATAGGGTATGTGCATACGCATGCGTGCACACACACAAACACACATACAAACCCTGTCTAAAATAAGAAAGGAAGAAAGGGAAGGAAGAAAAAATGAAAAAGTATGTTCTAAAGTTCATTGAAAAATACCCCTGTAAACAGAATACTCAAAAGTATTTTATTTACTTTGTTCACGTGTGTAACACATATAAATGATTTTGTGTGTGTATGTGTATGTTACATGCACATAAATCTATGGATTCACACCCTATGTCTGTGCATGTGACGGGCAAAGGAATGTGTCAGGTGTCTATCATTTCCTAGCTCATTTCCTTAAGACATGTTCTCCCAATAAATCTGAAGCTAGCCATTTTGGCTATGCTAGCTGGCCAGGGAGCTCCCAGGATGCACCTGTCTCTGTTTTGCCATGCTGGAGTTACAGGTATGTGGCCTGGCTGGCTTCTTATTTAAGTGCTGGAGATTTGGACTCAGGACTTTTACTTGCAAAACAAATAACTGTACTTGTTGGTTTATCCCCCAGCCCCATGAACCGTCTCCTAACTGCTGTCTGGGCACAGATGGTCTTGCTTACCTGGTTTGCACAGGGCTGGGGCAGCAGCAGGAGCGCTGGCTCTTCCAAATGGCACCACTGGCTCAGCAGGATGATCCCATCCACTGCTACTATTGGGAGGCTTTCCCCATGCTGCTGTGCCATTGTCGACCAGGGTGGAAGGGGAAGATGGCTCTCCCCATGAGTTCTCAGCCTTGGTGTGGACACTGGGCATTTCTCCCCAGCCCGATGAAACTGAGAAAGGGGGAGAATGCAAGTGAAACTGAGAAGTCATGCTGTCACATTCCAAATCACCTCAAACCCTCATCACTCTGCATTTCCAAGGAGCCCTGCCTCTGCTGACAGTGATAAGGGCAGGGCCTAGTACCTGCACACTCCACAGAGTACACTAGCTTGGAGATACCTGGAGGGAAGAGAACACAGGATATGGCCAGTTTTAAACTGTCTGACCTCAATTGTGTATAAGTTGTTAATTTTCTTACTAACAATAGTATAGAATTGGTTCCCATGATATTTTTTTCTCATCAGTACCCTGATTAATGACAAGATCATAGAGGTTTGAATCATTTAAATTACAAGCTCTCTGTGGAGCAACGGTTTAGGCAAACTGTCAACAATAACTAGGTAAGTTATATCAATCAGTTACTGCTGGCAACTGCTCCCAGTAATTACTCAGAAAGCAGTAATCAGAACTGGGAAACATTTTACAAATTTAAGGGGCAATTAAATGAACAAAATTCTCACAGCTGACAATGTGTTATGATAACCAACCAGCAGAAAAGTAACGAGTCAGCAGCTGAGAGAGCAGTGACTCTCCTGATCTGGCATTCCTCCACTTCTATGTCTCTGTAGGCCATTTTACAAGATGTAACAGATTAATTAAGTTAAAACTAAGAATAGTCAGACCATATTTCTGTTTTTGTAGAAAGTTTGGTTCCTGTTAAAAATCAACAGAAAATCCTACAAAACACTTGTATATAACAAAAGATTCGCCAGTTTCACATTTCAAAGCCTTGAGGACAAGTGGAAGAATACTTGCTGACTTGCAAACCAAGCAAGCTCTTTCTGGGCTCCTCTCTGGCAACCTTCACACAGACCCAGGGTTTAGCCTTCAAAAGAAATGTCACAAACTGAAACATACTAAATTCTAGGGCAAAGCAAGCACTTATAGACAATAATTTTAAGTGCACAGCATTAAAATAATGTCCACCCCTTCAGTGTTCTTGCTACAGTAATCCCGACATCTTTTGGTAAAAAAGTTGGATTGATCAGGACGACCAACCTTTCTTTATTTGCATCTAAAACATTGGTAGTAAAATGAGGAAAACTGTCCTCAGGCCTGAAGGAGGAGCTCAGTGGGATAGGGCGCAGCACCCACCAGGCTCTTGTCGTTTCATCCTATGCATCCCAAACCCCCCCCCCCCCCCCCCAGAAACCCAAACAGTCCCCCTGAAACTTCCAAATACTATCTTTTTTTTTCTTCTCTCGCAAAAACAGTTTTTCTTCTTCTGTGTCTATGTATGTCTGTGTCTATGTTCACCTTTATGGGATTTCTGGGGACTACACAGTATTTCCAAACTGTGCTGTTAACCATTCACTTTTAAATGAAGGCCCTGAAGTGGGAGCCTGTGTGTATGGTGCTCACAGGCTTTCCTATTTAGGCACCCTTCCCACTTCTGTAGCAGATCCACCAATCTCTATTTCCTGTATTTCCTACAAAATACAGGAAAGTAAAATCCCCCCATCATACCCATATCCACGAAAGTACAAATAATTCAAATCGCTTTTCTGTTAAAAACTATTGCTGAAAATGGAACATCTCTGGCTGGCTCGTGGAAGCTAATTTTAGAGTCACTGTGTTAAAACAGCAGAGCTGTCACAGTGTCATACTGATTCACACTGAAGAACAGTAAAGAAAGTTTCTAGGATGGAGGTCTTGAAGCTTGAAGCAAGGACACTGTTCTCTAGCTTTTGCTTTTTTTTCCTTTTAAGGTTTATTTATTATTTATAGTGTTCTGCCTGCAAGTCAGAAGAGGGCACCAGACCTCATTATAGATGGTTGTGAGCCATCATGTGGTTGCTGGGGGAATTTAACTCAGGACCTCTGGAAGAGCAGCCAGTGCGCTTAACCTCTGAGCCATCTCTTCAGCCCTGCTTTTGCTCCTCTTAAGACTTACAAAATCACCAATCACTGACCGAGGCAGAAGCCTTTTCCATGATTAACTCATATAAGCCCAGTCTTTACAGAAGCTTATAATATTTGTGTCTGAAAAGTGAGGTTTGGAACAAGTACCAGGGGACCCAAATGCAAAGTCAAGCTTGCAGTTAGATTCAGCCTTTCCTGACCACAGCCTCCTGATGAGCGGCCTCACACCTGCTTCAGCTACCTCAGGTGACCCGAGGAAGTAAGCACAGGCTGTCAGCAGGATGCAGGACTCTTGAATAAGCTCAAGAGAGCTCCCCGCCTTGCTCAGACTTAAAGACTTTCACATGGAGCTAATATTTTGCTTTGGCACCACGTCTACAGAGTCCAGGAGAAGTGTGACAGAGTGAGACTTCAGTGTTGGCAACAGCTCGGTTTCCATGAGCCCATGGAGTTCACTGATCTTGCTTAGATCAGCTTTATGCTGCCCTCCACATGTACCTTTCTTTCAACACCAATTCCTCCAAAACTGATCAGACCACTTAGGTGAAACTAAAATGCTCGGGGATGAAACAAACAGCCAGGCATAGTGGTGACAGCCTGTAATTCCAACACTGGAGCTGAGGCAGGAAGATCTCTGCAGGTTCAAGGCCAGCCTGTATTATACCCAAAACAACCACCAAGAAATCAAGATACCCATACCTATACCAGCAAAACAAAACCTAACCCAATCCAGGACCCACAGCTGCACTCTGAGATGCAGCTACACTGAGGACCTGGACCCTGAACAGTTATGTTGTTATTTACTGCTGCTTCCTGTGTGTCCGCAAGTAATTTCCTGCCCTAGAACACCCATCTCCAAGTATACTAGATAATGAGGCTGCCTGGCATTCTTCAGAATCTGCTTTAATCCCTTAGCAACAAATAAACACTGCCTTTACTCTTTCTTGTTCTCAGCCACTTCCCACTAGCAGAAGAGTCCTTCTGCAAAGCAGCATCCTGGTTCCAAGACGATGTAACAGCTCCAGGTTCTGACAGACAGCCTGACTGATAAGCAATTAGGTAATGTCACCAGGAGAAAACCCTGTGAAGTGCAGTACAGTGCTGTGACTTGGCATACTGTGTTAGCATAGCTTGTTACCACTCCACAAGCAGTTGGGAATCTGATGAAATACCAGGCACAGGGACACTTCTTCAGGCTCTTACTGCTGTTCTAACCCCAAGGTGGGGCTGGGACTGGATTAGGTCCAAAACAGCCAGTTAGTCAAACTACAAAGAATCCCCTAATAGACACAGGTTTTATGGAGACTCCCAGAAAACTGATAAAATGTAAAACAGGGCAAAACTACCTTATAACATTTACCCCCTTAAGACTAAACACACAAAATTATGTTAATGAAGAAGCTGTATTTTTCTAAGACAGGAGCAATTAATACTTCCCTGTTAATGACTAGCAATTTAAAAACCGTCTTAAATCAAAACTCTGATATCAATAGGAATTACAGAAAACCAGGAGAGGTCAACAGCAAAGCAGAAAAATAACTACAAAACACCAAGTTTATCAACAGCAAAAACTTGGTCAACCACTAAAAATGAAAGCTTTTTTCCAGAATGAAAGATCTCAGTAGAGCCATGAAAATCTTGTGCCCCAGCCTGTCTGACCCAGCTTGGCAGCTGCTGTGGCTGTGTGCCAGCAGTCTGTGTGGAATCCTGTTTGTTACTTCTCTGGGGTTAAAGCACAGCGTCACCTAACAAGCTTGCAAATACACAGGGTCTCATTACTTGTGATTCTTAGGTGGCTTGCTTTAGGGCCAAGATTTGAATATCACAGGCAGTGTGGGGCAAAGCGTGGCCATGCTGTTCCAGTGGGAGAAGAAGAGAGTGATATTGTAATGACACTGTCACCTGCTATACTACACACTAAACCTGACCATTTCTATATAGGGGCTGACCAGATGGAAACAAACAAACAAACAAACAACATAATTTTGTCTTTGTTAATGGTCTCAAACTCACAGCAGCCTCTATGACACTGCTGTAACTCTAAGAATGTGCAGATCCCAGAAGTTGGAGGGAACACAGGGACTGGAAAGCAAATTCCTCACTTGGAAGGAGTAGTGTTAATACTGTCTCTGCTTTTAAATTTGGTAGTCATGTATGTAAAACATAGTTAAACAGTGAGCTCTTGTAATCCCAGCACTGGAAAGACAGGAAGATCCAATCTAGACAAATTGATAAGCGCTAGACCAACAAGTCACTGCCTCTCTTAGGTGTTCTTCAGGATGGCGAGAGGTTGTCCTCCAGTCTCCATGCGCATGCGTGCACACATGCGCATATATGGTGGTACCTACTTATCATGCTATGACAGCCATAGCGGTACCCCCCCCCCCCACCCTTCGGACATTTCACTACGTAATTCCAGCTGTCCTGGAGCTTACTATGTGGACCTGGTTGGCCCCAAAGTTAGAGATTCTCCTGCCTCTGCCTCCTGAGCCCTGTAACTGGAAACTTTTGGCTAGTGCTCAAAGTCCTAGTGCTGAGGCGCTCTGGGCTGCTGCAAGCGTATAAGTGGGAACACAGCCCTTCATTCTAGTAGAAAGGAGCCACATGACAACATTGTGTCCTACCTTTCAGGCTTCTGACAGACAGAATTATCTTTTTACTAAAAATGCTGATTTACAGAAAAATGTCCCAACTGGGAACGTTTCTGAGTCTGGGTACAATCTGTTACTTAGACCTTTCATTCAGGGACAAGTAGATGCATGCAGACCCATCCAGGATTCCTCTGTGGTAGGTGATATTACAAGGTGTAGTCAAACGTCACGCGTAGCAGACATACCAGGGAGACTGGGCAGGGTAGTGACATGTAAATGAGCATACCAGGGACCCTCCTCCTACCCCAGCTGCAGCATGCTCACAGTGAAGCCCAGCAGATGCTCAATGCCCAGGTTTCATACTTATCCACGGCACGGCCTCCTTGGGCTCTCCTGCCATCACCCTCTCTCATGTCACACACTGGCTTCACCTGGTTTGGCCCTCACTGGCCTGTAGGCCCCACAGGGCAGGGGCTTGGCTGTTTTGCTACCTTCCGTGACTCTAGCACAAACACTGCCTTACTCAGAGTAGGCTCCATGTGGGTAAATGACCATTCTATTCACTATTGGGTACATCATTGCCAGGCAGCCCTTTGAGCAGTCAGCAATCTCTCCCATTCTCTACACAGACATCACATTTCTGCTCTCATATGTTTTTTTCCCCTCATGGCTAGTATTGGTGCCCTCAAATCCTTTGCCACTGAGATGGCCTGGCTGGGCATTTGCCCTTTACCTCTTCCATAGGTTGCAGTGTGGGTCACCTTCCCTAACAGAGAGAGGGGCCTCTCCATTTGCATCCACACTCTTCTCTACACACCCCCTTCCTATTGGCTTTTAAATGTGCTCAGTTCTGTCACTTGAAGGGCTTTCTTTGTAGGGATGGGGATTGAACCCAAAGGCCTTCAGCATGTTAGGAAAGTATTTGTTCATTGACCTACAAGCCCTAGCCTCTAAGAAATTTTTTTGTTGACCATAACTACTTAGTCACAGTTACTCTGTATCTTCTCCTAACTCTGTGCTGAGAGCTCATCTTCCACAGCATGGTATCATGTCCCCTCTCCCCCCCAATTTCCTGTCTCCTGTGCTCACGAAATGCCAGCAAGAACATCAATACCTGTGACTTACTCCAGCTCTGAGCCACTTCTTTGCTTTCCCAGCCACTGTTCCTTTTAAGTGCCCCTTCATTTTTATCCCGCCACTATCCCTCCAGGCTGAAATCACCTGCTTTGCCTGTTTCCCTGTGTGGATTCCCACTGATCCATTCTTTTTTTTTTTTTTTCTTTCTAGTCAGAACAACCAGTGATACAAAATAATCATCATAATCATCATCATCATCATCATCATCATCATCATCATCATCATCATCTTAGAACTGTTTCATGTTTCTTGGGGCCTCTAGATACAGTCAGATGCCTATAAAGGCCTCACCTGCCCTTGGGCCTCTATTCAGGTTCCTTATTGCCGTAAGGCCTTCCTTATGATGTCCAACCACTCAAGAATCTCTACCTGCTCTTCCCATTTGTCCCCTGTACACATCATGGAATGAAAGCAAAGAGCATGCAACTGTTTCTGGTAACAAGGCTACTACTGATTGTCCACTCAGTTCTTGTTCTGATTGACCAAGGACGGTGTTTTAAGGCAATAGCCTCATTTTTTTTTTTTTTTTTTAAGAAATTACAGTTGTTTACTTTTGAGGGGATGGGGAACTGTGGAGTACTAGTGGTAGTCAGAGAACAACCTGTGGGAATTGGCCCTCTCCTTCCACTATGTAGGTCTCAGCGATCAAACTCATGTCAAGGCTTAGAGGCAAGCACCTTTAGCTGCTGAGCCACCTCAAGGCCACTTAAGCAGTTTACATGTGGCAGTCAAGCAGCACTCAGCACCTACTCTAACAGCCTCTTTAAGCTTCTAGCAAGGCCACAAGTGGAAGTGACACTCTTGCACACTAGGCTTCGGCTGACTGTGAGGAAACCTTGCCTAGGTAGGAGGACCTCCTCCTGTCTTTTATGGCACACTGAAATTCAGGAAGAGCCTGTAGAGATAGAACAGTGGGTGAAGTGGCTGACATACAATCAAGAGGACTATAGTTTAGGCCTTTGTGTAAACCCAGTGCTCAGAAGCTGGAGGAGTCCATGGAGTAAGCTGTCTAGGTGGGCTACTTGAACTGTGAGCTTCAATATATAAGGTGGAAAGTGATTGAAGAAGACACCTATTATCAACCTCTGACCTCTGTAAGTAATAATGTAGATGTATACCCATCCACTCACATGTCCATATGAACATGAACACAAGCATACTATACACATACTCCAAAAAACCCCAACAAAAATTATCCCCTCTCCCAACTACAAAACAGGAAGGAAAAGCTAAAACCAGAGGAGGGCTCTACACCTGGGATCTACTGACACTCGTGGAAGAGCAGTCCTCAGGGCAGAGGAGCTTCACTAAGAAGCAGACTTTAAGCTTGATTTGAGAGTAGCATATGGCATGGCTCAGAGTGCAGCTCTAGAGTGAGGGGCTACAGACTCTGCTAACTGCACAGCATGGCACACATTTATAGCAAGGACATCAGCTCTGGGCACAGCATCCATAAGTTCAGAGCTTCCCAGAAGACCATTAAAACCACGAGGAATTACAACTGCAAGAAATTGCTGTGACAAATGAGGAAAGCTCCTGAAGAGTGGGTGGACAGACAGACTATCCTCAGTCAGCTGCTTCTAGTTCTGAAGTATTGTCTCAAGGACAGAATTTTAAGTGCATCTGATTCAGGGCCTGGCTGTCTAAGGAAGAAGAGCATGATGCAAGGAAGTCAACCTGTGAGGCAGGACCTCTGGATACTTCTTTTAGTTCCTTGCTTGTGGCTGAGTTTTCAGAACACAGCTGTGCCATGAGTTGGACAGTGCTCCCTCCCACAAACGGGAGCACTGTCACTTGGTGAGTATTCTGATGACTCACTTGGGCTGACTTCATGCTCAGAGCACAGTACTTTACGCCATGGACCAGTATTCCAGTTAGCAATCTAGAGCTCTTGCTGGCTCTCCAAAGTCCACTGCACTCTACCTGCGTCACCCACATTTTAACACGGGCTCCTGTTCTCTTACAACTACTTAAGCTGTCTGTGGCTCTGGTTGAATTATCCCAGAATCTTCTTTTCCACTTTCACAGAGCAGAAACTCCAAACATAAGTCTTAGTCTGACTTTACAATTTGTTTTTCAAATTAAATAAAAATGGCTTATGTAACGACTCATATTTTACAGGGTATAGAACTTTTAAAATTACCACTGAAGCAGCTTTGCTGCAGATTCATCATATTAAACCAGATTCTCTGGGAGTGACAGCCCATCCCATTAAGGGCCAAGGAAAGTCAGGGTTGAACCACTTGGTTTATCTAGCAATAAAGACTCTTGCAAAGGGACATGTACTAACACAAGGGGTCCCAGACTTCTCTGAAGGGGACTATGCTTCTTTCCTCCCATATATCATCAGTCATGCAAAGGTTGGATTATGCTTTGGGGCAGACCCAGACTACTTGCATAGTACAAGGCAGAAGAATGAGCTTGTACTTGATTGAGAAGGTGACCACAATCAAGTAACACTTGAACTGGGAAAAGGCCAAGGAAATGCACAGAATACCTAACAAGTGATTTAGGCAGTCAGGAAAGAATATAGCTGCATGGCAAAGGACTTCAAAGTTGCTTCTATAAAAGAATGTCAACTGCCCAAAGGTTCCATGACTGACAAGGAACCCAGACAAGCAGAGTACAACACAGTAAAATATAAGTTCAAGACAAAATTGGCCTGTGTTTGCAGGGATGATGATGAAAAGGCCGAAACTGGCTGGAAATCCTGGCATCACTGAGCACACCCGCACTTCTTTTCCTTGGGAAACTACTGGAGAATTTTGCTTTGTTTCTTCCCTTGGAAAACGGCTACACTACTTAGTCATGTTATTGGAGTGCCAGTCCACTCCACACACAGACACAGAGAACACACCAGTGGCATGACCGCAGGGGCCCCAGCATACCTGGCCCAAGCAGTGGTGACCGATTCAGCTGAGTGCCAGCCTGGTGTGAAGGTGGCGTCTCGGCCCGGTGTGTAGTGCTGCTCGAGGTGGGGGTCGTGGGGGTGGCAGGGGTTGTGGTACTGCTCTGGATGACTGGATTGTTTCTGTCCCACATGTTTACAGTTTTATTGTTGTAAGTGCTTGGGTCCCCCCAAGCTGAGGTACCATCATCGATTTCCATTTTGCGTCGGATGGAGGGTGGGGAAGGCTCCTCCCAGCCAGTCGCCTCATTGTCCTTCTGCTTGACTGGCAGTGGTCCCCCAATCCACCCTGTCCCGGTCTGCTTAACAGATGCAGCTCCGCCCCAGTTACTCACATTGTTATCTTGGGGCTTGTGAGCCCAGTTCTGCTGGGGACCAGGCTTGAGAGACTCTCCCCAGTTTGTACCTGGATTCACCTTAGCATTTGTGCCACTGCCCCAGCCACTGGTCCCACATCTCGTGGCATCATTCCAACCAGACCCTGACCTATTACCATCAGCATCCCATCCAGATCCGTTTTTCTTCCCATCCCCTAGATGCCCAAGTGCAGATGATGAATCTGCCCAATCTCCTGCTCCTGCGCTCCAGGCTGGATTTGCTCTTTGTCCATCTCCCCAGTTTTGGGATTTGGGTTTCTGAGGCTCACCCCACGTGGGTGGTTTGTCCTCCTGGTTTACGGTCCCACTCCAAGCATGGCCACTCTTGGTGGCAGCAGCATTGTTAACAGCAGTAGAGCTTATCGAGTCCCCCCAAACTCCTGGGCCACTTGGCGCTTTGTTGTTGCTGTCTCCCCAGCTTGTGTTTGCTGGCACGGCGGCAGGTGGTGAGCTGACCCACCCCGATACTGAAGAGGTATTTGTACTGTTCATGATGGACCCATCACTCTTCCCCCCTGAGTTTGAAGGCTGAGTAGCTGCACTACCCCAGGCTTCTGTCCCATTGTCATTTTTCCTTTCAGACCTAGGGGACTCTTCAAATTCCCAGGCAGTGTTTTGCTTTACAGGAGTCTGTCCCCAACCAGTATTAGACAGAACTCTTGGGTCAAGATCATTCCTTGGCAACTGGATGTGCCCTGGGTCTAGAACCCCTTTGTCTCGCCTCCTGCCCTCTCCTGTTCCTTCCCTCCCAGTGCTTCCTTCATTGTGATTGCCAGACCCATCGCTGCTTCCTTCACTTGCTGAAGTTCCAGAAGATGCGGCTTTGGCCCATGAGTTCATGTGTTCACTGCCAGGCTGCAAAGCAGGTGTCTGGCTGGCAGCACTGGGACTGTCCCACCCTGTTGACCCTTTCCCATTGATGTCACTACTGGAATGCTGGTTTGGAGGTTTCCCCCACTCCCCATTCACACCATTCGAAGAACTTCGGCTGGGGTGGCCCCACGCTCCTGAATGGATGTTGCCAATGCCACTGTTGCCACTGCCCCTTCCCCAGGCAAGGATGCCAGGACCTGTGGGAGGCCCTGAGTCCCAGGCACTCCCTCCACTCCCTTCCTTTTGCACAGCACTGCTGGATCCATTCTGTTTAGCACTTAATGCTGAGTTCACAGTGTCTCCACTCCCCTGACTGAACCCAGAATGGTTATTTCCTGTGGCAGGGTTCCCAGGGGACAGTCCCCAAACAGAACTGCCCATTCCTTCCCCACCACTCCCACTGCTTTGAGAGACTGATGATCCGTTAGCACCAGGAAGGCCTTGTAGGTGGGGCGGGATGATGGCCCCCATACCAACAGCCATGCCCCAGTTTGGCAGTCCATTAGTCTGCATTGCATTGATAGGGTTTGGTGAAGAGTTCATGGGGTTAGTGTTACTTGGTCCATCAGTGTTAAGGTTCTGAGGTTGTACGCTGAAAGACACATTCTGAGAAGCGGCTGTCTGTGCTTCTGTGCTCTCTTGGGGCAGCAAGTTTCCCCAGGCACCTAGGGTGCCCACTGGGTTCCCATTCTGGCTACCCATATTCTGACCTATGGCACTGACTGGACTGCAAATACTGGAAGGGTTGCCTGTTGCCACAGTTCCTTCATGCCCAAGTACAGGCCAGGCAGCTGGGTTGGCATTAGGATTAAGGTTGAGATTAATGCCCGAATTGGAGTTGGAAGCACCCCAACAATTTTGACTTCTCCCATCTCCAATCATGTTGTCCATTTTTCCATCTCCACCACCAACAGAGCAGTGAGCCAGGCCAGAGCTGGAGCCTACACCCCACACTCTGGCCATGCCTCCGTTCCCATTGGTTCCACCTGCCCCAAGGGCACTCTGATTAGAAGGACTTTGGACGAGCGCGCCATTGGTGCCATTATTGCCATTTGTCTTCGTGGGATGTCCTGTGAAGCTGCCTTGGGCGCTCCCTGTAGCCATGCTACTGTTCTCTGAGCCACAGTTGGAGGCAGAGTCAGTGTCTGTAGGACATTCTGAGGCAGATTCAGTCTCTGTTACTGGGATGGACGGCCACACCTCCTGATCAGTCCTGTCTATTATCACTTTATCCCAGCTGCAGTTAGCGTCACTTCTGTAAGAAGGCTGCTGTCCCCAGTGGGAATTTTCATAATGATCTGCCAATCCACTGTGACTAAGATCTGAAAAAAAATGAAATAAAACTCAAAATTAGATTCTCCTCCCATTTGCCAATGAATCAATTAAGAACTAGTTTCTGGAGGAAAACTAGCTTTTTATCTCAAGCTCTCAGTTTGAATGATGGATGCTAAGAAAAGGGGCCATGGGTATGGCTCAGTGGTAGAGCACTTGCCTAGCACAGCTAAGGTCCTGGGTTCCATCCTAGCACTATAAACAATAATAACAAACACAAAAAACCCACAAAAACAAACAAACAAAACCCAACCAACCAAACAACAAAACAAAAACTCCAAACAAATCCCTTAAAGCTCTGTATAGTTTCTTAACAGCTATATTGATGACATTATGCTAATTAGATTATATATTGGAGGTAGCAACCAAAATTCAAGAACCTTATACCTCAGTGAAATTCTTGTAATCTAATAATGGTGTGGGGCATGCAGAGATACTTATTCCAAAGTGAAGGATAAGTTATTAGACCTGGCTCCTCCCACCACCAAGAAAGAAGCACAACATTTATTAGGCTGATTTGGATTCTGGGGACAGCACATTCCTCACCTGGATGTGTTACTCTGGCCCCTATTCCAAGTGACTTGGAAAGCTGCTAGCTTTGAGTATTTCCTGTACAGGAGAAGATTTTTTTAACAGGCCCAGACTCCTGTGCAGGCTGCTCTATATTTGGACTGTATGATCTAGCAGAGCCTATAGTACCTGAAGTATCAGTGGCAGATAAGGATGCTGCCTGAAGCCTTTGGCAGGCTTCTCTATATGAATCACAGGAGACACATTTGGAATTTTGGAGCAAGGCTCTATCCTCAGCTCTAATCAACTAATCTCCCTTTGAAAGAGAGCTCTTGGCTTGCTATTAGGCCTTACTGGAAACTGAACGTTTGACAATGGGCCACTAAGTTATGCGACTAGAGCTAAGACTAGTTAAGTATTATCTGACCCACCAAGTCATAAAGTAGGATGTCCACAGCAGCAATCCATTATCAAATGGAAGTGGTAAATATGTGATCGGCCTGAGCAGGTCCTGAAGGCACAAGCTAGTTACATAAAGAAGTTGCCCAAATGCCTATAGTGCCTCCTCCTGTTACAATGTCATCTTCTGCCAAGTATGCGCCTACAGTCATGTGCTCTATGACTGGCTGACTGAGGACGAGAAGACCAGGATCTGTTTTACGGATGGCTCTGCATGTTATGCAGGGACCACTCTCAAGTGGACAGCTGCAGCATTACAGACCCTTTCTGGGAGAACTCAGAGATACCAATGAGGAAAATCTTCATAGCGGGCAGCACTTTGGGCAGTACACAGTCAGTCACATGTTTTCTTTGGAAGAAGAAATGGTCAGATGTGCAATGGAATGGTTGGATGGTAAGTCAGGGTCTTGGAAAAAGCATGACTGAAAAATTGGTGAGAAAGACATCTGGTGAAGAAGTATGTGGCTAGGCCCCTCCAAATGGGTGAAGAATGTTTTGTGTCCCTGACCCAAAGGTGACTTCAGTGGAGGAGAAGCTCAAATCAAGCAGGGAGCAAGACACATTCTGTGGAGAGTCAGCCACTTTTCCTAGCCACCCCTGTCATTACCCAATGGGCCCATCAACAATGTGGCAGGGTGGCAGAGATGGGGGTTATGCTTGACAACATGGACTTCCACTCACCTACATTGACCTGGCTACAGCTGTTGCTGAGTGCCAGATCTGTCAACAGCAGAAACCAACACAGAGCCCCAGATATAACAACATTCCCCAATGTTAGCAGCAGCAGCATCCTGGTGGCAGGTTGATTGCATTGGAACACTTCTTCGGTGGAAAGGGCAACACTTTGCTCTTACCGGAGTAGATACTTATTCTGGTTATAGATTTGCCTTTCCTGCATGTTATGCTTCTGTCAAAACAACCATCTGTGAACATACATATCCACCACCATGGTATTCCACACAGTGTTGCTTCTGAGCAAGGAATTATCTCATAGCCAGAGAAGGGTGACAGTGGACCCGTGATCATGGAATCCACTGGTCATACCATGTTCCTCACCATCCTGAAGCAGCTGACCTGATAGAAAGATGAAATGGTCTTTTGAAGACACAGTCGTAGCTGTGTCAATTAAGTGGCAGCAGCCTGAGAGCTGGGACAGCATTCTCTAGAAGGTGGTATATGCTTTGAATCAGTGTCCAATATCTGGTATAGTTATTCCCACAGCCAGGATCCAGGGGTTCAGGAATCAAGGGAGATGGTAAATGGAATAGTCCCACTCACTATCACTAGTGACTCATGAGGAAAATTTTGCTTCCTGTTCCCATGACCTTAAGTTTTGCTGGTCTAGAGGTTTTTGTTCCAGAGATCAGAGTGCTTCTGCCAGCAGCCACACAAACATGCCATTGAACTGGTAGTTCAGACTTCCCCCTGGCCCTTAAGTCAAAAGACTATAAAGGGAATAAACAGTGCTTTGAGCAGTTATTGATCCAGATTACCAAAGGGAAATTGGATTGCTTCTCCACAGCAGAGGTAAGAAAGATTATATCTGGAGATCCTTTAGGGGTGAATCTTGGTGCTACCATGTCCTGTGATTAAAATCAACAATAAACTACAACAACCTAACCCAGACAGGATAACAAAGGGTACACACACTTTGGGAGTGACAGTATGGGTTTTCTCTTTCAGGGAGAACCAAGACCTGCTGGGGTGCTTGCTGAGGGTGGAGGAAATGCAGAATGGGAAGTACAAGAAGATAGTTGTAAATAATATCTAAGGCCATGTGACCAGTTGCAGAAACAAGGATTATAATTGATGAAAGTTTTTGTCATATTTTGTTAAGAATGTGTTTGTACAGATATTTGTGTTTCCTTGACTCAATTTCTTTATTGTGTAATATAACAACTAAGAAATATCACTGGTTATCATATTTAAGTTTTGAGATATCTAAAAAATTGTCCTTCAAGGGAGTGCTACCTTTTCTAAAATTTCTAATGTGTCTGTGATTGTACAAGGGATAGTTTATTATGTTATGACCTAGTTAAATACAGAATGCATTTGTGATTGTATGTGAGGTAGCTGTATCATGTGAGACATGATTATGATTGGGTTACTGTCTTTATTTGGGATGACATGAGGTATGACATGAGGTATGACTGTGGTAAATTGACAATGGTGTGCTTGTGGTGGGCTCTTCTTGGTTATTAACATGACTGAATACGGAATTAACTAAAACCCAAGCAGGTGGGAACACCTGTGAGGGACTTTTTCTTAATTAAATAATTTGAAATGGGAGGACTCACTTGTATTTTATTTATTTATAGAGTGTTCTTCCTCCATGTGTGCCTATACACCAGAACAGGGCACCAGATGGTTTTGAGCCACCACCATGTGGTTGCTGGGAATTGAACTCAGGACCTTTGGAAGAGCAACCAGTGCTCTTAGCCATCTCTCTAGTATGGAGGACTCACTTTTAATCTCAGATCTTTGAGGTGGAAATATCCACCTTTAATCTGGTCACACCTTCTGTGGATAGCCTATATAAAGGATAGGGAAGAAGTAAACTGTTCTCTTTGCTTGCTTGTTCTCACTAGCAAGTCCATTCATTCCTTCACTGGCACTGGAGCCTACTTCTTTGGAATGCTGGTGTATACAGCAAACCAACTAAGACATCCAGCCTGGTGGACTGAACAACTACTGGAATCTTGGAGCTTCTATTGGTAGACAGCCACTGCTAGGTTCTAATAAATCTCACACAATGATTTTCATTCCTTAAGTTCTGTTCCTCTAGAGGATCTTGACTAATACACTCTGCTAATTTTAATGGAGCTAAGAAAGAGTCGAGGCCATGTGAAGAACTGTCACAATCTTTGGAAACAACACACCAGCCTTTGAAAACAGAGAGCTTTGTTGCCTGAAGAGTCATAGTTAGGAGTGGTGGGACATGCATGGAATCTCAGCATCTGGGTCCTCAGGCACTTCAGATTTTTCTGTGGAGCACAAGGACTGTCTCCTTCCTTCATTTCTTTCCTTCCTTCTTTCCCTAACCCTAACCCCTGCCCCCCTTCCCTCAGATTTCTTTATTTTTACCTATAGAGACATTTTGCCAGCATGTATATATGTGTACCACATGTGTGCATGGTGCCTATGGAAGGTGTCTGATCTCTAAAACTGGAATTGTGGATGGCTGGAAGCTGCAAGAACAAAGTGTTCTTAAGCACTGAGCCATCTCTCCAGCCCACAGGGAGTTTCAATGGCTAAAATAATACCTGTCCGATGTATATCATGGCTGAGAGTTGATAAGTGAGAATCTTGTTTCCAATATCACACACTTAACAGTACTCTGAAGAATTTCCATACATGCCAACTTAAGTGAATCTCACAAACAAACCCTATACATTTTGAACATAAAGAAGGTGAGGGAGGTGGGGTGACTAGCTGAAGTCTGGAACCCTTAAGTAATAAGGGACTAAAGAACCAAAACATGGTTTATATAGGAGTCTATATAAAAATCTAAGCACCATAACTGTCTTAAGTGATTAAATCAAAAAGGATTAAATAACAGCAGGAAGGGAAAAGCTTTCCTCTTGACTCTTAAATATCCAAATGTTGTCATGTGAGAATAGAACTTTCTAGGTGAAGTTGTTACTACAGACTCCCCACCCCCCAAAGCTACAGTGGGCAAAGTGTGATCATGTTATATCAGTCAGAGAGGAAAGTGGGACAGTGTGCTGAATGCTTTAACTGGCATTCACACTGACAGTAAAGGCATTTGTTCTTTATCACCACGAGTCTCTTCACTGAAATTACAAAATAATAAATCACAAATTGTAGAGAGCAGTCCCTGGTGGCTTCAACAGCTGACTATGTCTGTTCCTGAATATTTACTAAGAGCACAGATTCCTTGCTAACTGGTTTTCGGGGTCAGGGTACATATTATAGTGGTCTGCAGCTCTTGAGAGCCTCCCTATCTACATGAATCTAAGGGAGGAAATACTTTCTATTCTAAATTCCATCGATGGAGGGGCAGAATCTCTTACATCTCATCTGCTGGCTGCTACAAGCCCAGGTAATCAATAATTTGGAACCAAGCAAAGATGTGCTGTAAACAATAACCTGTATAAAAGAATAATCTTTCCCTTGGTTTCTGTGCAAGTGATGACTTCTCAAGGCTGAGAAGATGAAGATACAGTAAGGAAATGACGTAGGGAGGGTGCGCCTGCCTGGACCCCTGGTAGCAGGATAGGGAGCTGCCACATACACTGCTGGGGAGAAGCAGCTACTGCAGGCTCAGGGTCTGCTCTGTCTCTCTTTAGGGCTGAGGAAATACCTGCCCACCTCCCAGGAGCTGCAGCCTCTGGCATCTGGGCTCTTGATTGAAACATGTCAGCCAGCTCTTGGGCAGTTGCAAGCTTGCTCCCAGCCAGCCTGGCTCAAGCTACCCCTAGGCACCAACCGTGCCAGAGTGTGGAGTAGACCTGAAGACACTTTTGTCACCTTGAGTAGTGGCCTATCCATCCCTTTCCAGTGGAAGTGGAGGCATCCATGGACAGGTCCTTTAAGCTTTGATAATCTAATCATAGCTGACACTAAACTATCTTCCCTTTTAAATTCTCAATTGTGAAGAACATTTTACTTCAAGACCCAGTGACAAGCACCAGAGCCACAGCCCTCTTTCTATTTTTTTGAAAGCTAGCCAAAAGAATAATGGCATGTTACCTACTGTCTGAATTCAAATAAGCTGGTATCCCCAACCACCTTGTTTTACATTCCCCCTAGCTCTCCTTTTTTCAACCCCTCAGCACCTGTAGACCAGCACTGTAATTAATATTATATGCACAGTCCATATGTAAACTGGCATGAGCTCAACTTCTTACTTTCCTGCCTTAACCCAAAAAGTGTGTGAGAAGCACATACTAGTCAGAGCTTCTGTTCTTAAATGTACAAAGTAGACATGACTACAATACACTGCTCTGTCTAAAGGCAGAAGGAACATGTTTAAAAATTTTTTTAAAGAAAAAGTTGTAGTAGAGCATGTGGTGACACACGCCTTTAATCCTAGCACTTGGGAGGCAGAAGCAGGCGGATCTCTGAGTTCAAAGCCAGCCTGGTCTACAGAGTGAGCTCCAGGACATCCAGAACTACACAAAGAAACCCTCTCTTAAAAAAAAAAAAAAAAAAAAAGAAAGAAAAAGAAAAAAAAAAGAAAGAAACAGAAAAGAAAAAGAAAAAAAGTTCCCAAGTGCTTCAAGCTGGAATTATCCTGAATCCTTGCAAAACCAGAGTCTGTAGAGAAAACATGACAGAGTGTGCTTCTTTAGAAACACAGCACTGTGTGAGCCCACCCTGCCCAGGTCAGCGCTACGGTCCATGTCTTCAGTTTTGCCAGCCTTCTCTGTGCCAATGGCTCTGGCTAAGGCTGAGGTCTACCCTCAGGTGCTTCCTGAGCCCTGTGAGAGTGTTTCTAGGCTCCTGTCACTTGTCATTGGGCACACTTATTTGAGAGCCCAATTTCCATGAGGGAAGACACCTACAAATTATATGTAAACTGCAGGCAAAGAATTAATAAGCTTTGATGCTTAAAAACAGAACTTTGAATTGGTAGATTATTATAAAAGTGTACTTCTGCTCTAAACCTAAGTTTCATTGCCACCTCATATTACTTAGCATTACAAATATCCAGAGGTAATAACAACAACAACAACAACACTAATAATGCTTACTACTTTTTAAGACTGGGTTCTATCTACTATGTAGCCCTGACTGAAACTTGTTATGTAGATCAGGCTGGCCTCAAACTCAGAGAGATCCACCTGCCTCTAACTCTAACAGAGTGCTGGGATTAAAATCATGCACTATCACACTTGGCCAGAACTTATTTTTGCATGTTAGTATCAGAAATCTTGGTCATCCTACAAAATGGGATAAATGTTGACACCAGTAAGCTTCATGTAACAATGCAAAATATATACTGTCTCAACACAGGGGGATGATGGAACCTGGAATCTGGAAGGAAAAATATATTTTACTGTTCTCCAGAAACCTGCTGCCTAGCAAGCATATAACTGGTCCTCAGCCATGAGCTGTCCAAGCCAGGGCATGTAGGTCAATGGAAGAGTGCTTACTTAGTATCCACAAGGTGGTGGGTTCCATTTCTAGCACTGAAGTAAAAACAACAAATAAGCACAGCCAGGCTGTCTGAGAGCATCACGAAACAGGGCTGAGGTCGTACCTGCTTCACAGAGGCCATGATCAGATGCTTTTGCATCTGATCCATAATCACTTGCCTGTTGGTTCTAGCGCTGTGGAACAGAAGGCACCCACTGAGCAGGAGCCTGCAGGAAACATTCCCACACTGAAGCAGCTAGCCTACTGAGCCCTTCAAATGCTGACAAATCCTGCCATTGGTCCTCACCAGAGCCTTCACCTATTCACATGCCTGCCTCTGCCTCCCTGAGTGCTGGGATTACAGGAGCCTCCTCTCTTCTAATCAAAGCTTTAACATCTTGTTCCCTGTTGGGCTAACAATAGTTGTACTATTTATTGGGTGCTTTTTACCATTTGCTGATCTAAATGCTAAGTACTAATTCTTCAGTCCTCTCCAGACTCAGAAACCACCACAGGCAACTTGTGAGTTGTGAGCTTGAGGACAGCCTGGTCTACAAAGCAAGTCCAGGACAGCCAAGGCTACACAGAGAAATCATGTCTCCAAAAAAAGAAGTGTGTGTGGGTTGGGGGTGGGGTAGACAGAGAGATGGCTCAGAGGTTAAGAGCACTGGTTGCTCTTCCAAAGGTCCTGAGTTCAATTCCCAGCAACCACATGGTGGCTCACACCCACCTATAATGAGATTTGGTGCCCTCTTCTGGTGTGCATGCAGGCAGAACACTGTACACATAATAAATAAGTAAGTCTTAAAAAAAAAAAAAAAGAAGTGGGGAGGCAGAAAGAGGAGGAGAGAAAACAAGAAAAATTAAAATTAAGTTTTGATGTAAGCAGAAAATTTATTATCCCTGTGGAATACACTGCAATGTACTAACAGAATCTAACCTATGTCTGGTTTTAGTATATCATTTGAACCATGAAGAGACGCACCTACATACTCAACTCTAGGACAGCCGACATTCTAAGTCACAACTTGTTACATTCAAGTCACAGATGTGAGAAAGTACGACTGCACTGTGAGACAGAGGTGTCGCTAAGACTGAGAGTTAAAAAAACTGCTTCATAACTGCTTCAAAGATGGATATATATTTTTACTAGACACCTCGGTCTCAGTAGCCCTTCTGTACAATTGTCTTTCACATTTGCTGAATGGCTGTTACAGGCACAGTGATGCAGAATCTACCAAAGGAAGAAGGAACCTTTCCACCCGACAGGAGTTCCAAATGGAGTCATGGCAGCTATGGTCTGGAAGGTGAGTCTGGCCTGGCTCTGCCACAGCCACTTGCCTAAAATTCTTATGATTATTCTACAACACTGTGTCATTCTAGCAGTGCCCACCACAGCCAACTCAACCTCTGTGGAATAGTGTTTTAGTTAGAAAGGAAGGGGAAGGGAACAAATTCTGGAGACTTGAGTGATGGCAGACCAGACCTCTCCTTTTAAATGAGGAGTGAAGCACTAGTTGGTGGCATAACCAGTACTGCTGGATTTTGACCCACAGTCATTCTACTAAGTCAGTCATAAAGCAGCTAGTTCTGACACTCCATAGGCTACTCTCAACTTAGCTGAGAGGTGAGACTCCAATAAACTCATCACGGAAAGATGCAAGTCACACGCACAGCAGTGCGCTGCAGGCTAGAACATCCCAGCTCCAAAGGGAGTGACAGAGACGGGCACAAAAACTCTTGAATAGAGAGAAAAATTAAGTTTTGATATAAGCAGAAACGGTGGAATGGTAGCCCTTCCCATGGCCCTCTAGGGGAAAACTAAGCACAACCACCGCTCTGAGATGGCCAGGACAGAAAGCAAGCCATGGAGAGGACAGTGAGGACCAAACATAGCTACGGTGGCAGAAAAACTGAGTTTACACATTAGCAATATGGCAAGTATCTGGGGGGAGGGGTAATGCTGAGTCAGGGAGGTGATAAAAGATCTAGTTGGCAGCACTGCCAGGCACTGCTGGAAAAAAGAGACAGTATAAAATAGATGTGTTTGTTGGTGAGCCAAGAACAAATTTCTCATTTATACTCATTATATAGACTGATTTGAACTTCCAGATTTTTTTTTAATCCACAAAGTGAGTTACATTCTATACAATGTGTGTGTGTTGTATGGTGACCAGGCAAGTATGTAGATATGCTCGCCAGCATGTGTGAGTTTTTATTTTTGAGACGGGTCTCACTATGGTGCACAGGCTAGCATCAAGTTCTAGGACACAAGAGGTCCTCTTACCTCAGCCTGAGTAACGGGGACCATAAGCACATGGGAAAAAAGCCTCAGGACTGGGGGAGCAGTGCAATAGCCAAGCACCTTACTAGCAAGTACAAGGCCCTGGCCCTAACCCTAACACCAAAGAAAAAAGTTCCATTCTCCATGGTTCTTACCTGGTTGGAGTTTGCTGGGATGTTGCTGTGCCCCAGCTCCAGGGAGGGGAGGAGGGCTGGCCCCTGTAGGTCCAGCAGCCTGTGCTGGGCTTACACTGGCCAGCGTCCCTGTGGGCAATGGCTGGCCTCTCTTTAACAGCTGCTTCTGTTCTTGCTGGCGAAATCGTGGAGGCACCTCCCGAGGCAGGTAACGGGACGCAGCTGGCTGCTGGCCACAAGCAGATGCACGTTTGCCATTGCTGCTGCTAGAGATAGTGCTGGTGGAAGTACTGGTACTGGTACCGGCAGGTTGAGGCTGGCTTGAACAGGTCTTAGTAAGTTCTGGCACTGAAAAGACCCAAAGGAAAAAATGATCCAAAGCTTCAGTAACTAACATCTTAAAACTCCAAACTAACACAGCCCCCGAGGAGGCACTGCTCTTGTTTAGTGCATATGTCATCGAGCACCCAAGTGTGAACGTAAGTGTGAGCATCCACGTGACTGCTGACGGTGACAATACAGTCCTCTGCATCCTGGGTTATAGCAATGATGGAGTGAGCACTATGATACCTTCAACATTTCGGGGCCCTGCCACAGACGAATGGATAAGGATGCAGGTAGCCTACTCTACCAACACTAACAAGTGTGAAAATGCAAAAGACAATTTGTGTCAGGTTCAAGAGATCTGACCCTCACTACTCAGATCCACCTTCATCTTGACTGTGAATCACTATCCAAAATATCCAGAGGCAAAGTTTCTACCTAGTTAATTTGTAAATGCTTTTCCTTTTGCAGCTGAATAAAAGCTTTGCACCAACAAGTTAAGAAACAATTCCAGGTATCTTATTCTTATGTGCTGAAGTGTTCTGCCTATATGTGCAGCATTTGTATGCCTGGGAGGTATCCATGGAGGCCAGAAGAGGGTACCAGATCACCTGGAACTAGAGTTACAGATGGTTGTGTGCTGCTGTGTGGGTGCTGAGAGTAGAACCTGGGTCCTTTGGAAGAGAAGCAATGTGCTTGACTTCGGACACATCTCTCCAGCCATTTCAGGTATCTCTCTCAGGTACAAGCAAGCCCTCCTGAGTCACAATTACTGTAAGACAACATCAGGCTCTGTAAGCTACCTCTCCTTTTTGTTAGCAGCTCTAGTCAGCCTGAGGTTTGGTCTTCCAGCAGACTCCTTTTTATTTTTTTGTTTTGTTTTTTGAGACAGGGTTTCTCTGTGTAGCCTTGGCTGTTCTGGACTCACTTCGTAGACCAGGCTGGCCTGGAAGAACTCACAGTGATCCACCTGCCTCTGCCTTCCTGAGTGCTGGGATTACAGGTGTGTGCCACCACGCCCGGCTCCAGCATGGATTCCATTGTCTACTTGGTAACCAGTACATTGTCTGTGCCCTCAGGACTTTTCTATCTTTCTGTCACCTGTGCTTATCAAGTAAACCACTGAATGAATCCTCTCTCTATAGGGTTCAGACTAAGACTCTCAGTGTGCCTTTGTAGGGCAATGCCCTGCCCTCAGTGCTTCCCACTAACCCTCTGTTACTGCATCAACAACCCATCCAAAGGCCTTTGATGTCAGCACCTCTACTGTATTACCAGCCTGCCTTAGCTTCTCATTCCCACAAGATAAATCTGACTTTACCCTGCAGACAAAAATAAAAGCAACTAGGCAAAACACGACCAACACACTGTTCTTTGTGCTACACGTTAACTCTCATTTAAGAATAAGACTGTGTAGTCTCTCATTGTGTGACGCATTTCTCGAATGCGGACATCACACAGAAGTGCTGTTTGTTTACTTTTTCTTCTTTTTTCTTAGTGGCATGTGTGCACTTGGTGGGTCTCAGGATCAGTGGCTGGGAAAGAAGAAAGACCGATGGTACTTTCGTGTGCCATGAATTTTCTACCCATGACTCTCCAGAGCAGAAACAAAGACGTACAGATTGGGTATTAGATTAACCTGTTTTATAGAGGTTTACATATTTTCTAGGTTTAATAGAACAGATACCAATCTTTCAAAAGGAAAGAGTTTAAAAGCCACAGAGATGGCTAAGCCAACAACAACACAGCCCCCGGATCAGAGCCAGAAGCCATGTATTTAACTACAGGCCCAGAGCTCTCCTACTATATCACTCCTGTTCTTTTTTTTTTTTTTTTTTAAAGATTTATTATTTATACAACATTCTGCCTGCACACCAGATCTTACTATAGATGGTTATGAGCTACCATGTGGTTGCTGGGAATTGAACTCAGGACCTCTGGAAGAGCAGCCAGTGCTCTTAACTTCTGAGCCATCTCTCCAGCCCCCACCACTCCTGTTCTTATAAAAGACAAGGGGCAGGAACTAGACAAAAGGACAAATTCAAAGCCATTTTGTTGTTGTTGTTGTTAAATCCATTACAAAAAGAGGAATTCACACTAAGCAAGCAAATGCTGCAAGTCTGTCACTTTTATTTTCAGTCTAAGCCACCAAAATCTAAGACATGAATACAGAACATTCAGTTCTGCCATGTTGCTTGTCTGATGATATCCAGGAAGGGTCCCTTTCCCCTTGATAACTGCTACCAGGACAGAATAAAGATTGGCAGAAACTCAAAGAACACTTTCCACAGCTTTAAAGGATGGGAAAAAGAAAGAAAAGAATGCATGACAGAGGCCAGTTAAATAGTTATCATCCAGGCCTTTACAGGAGAAATTTGCTGTTTACAGGAACAGAAACTATTTGTTATTATTATACTACTGGACACATAAGACCTCCAGAAAAGGACTGTAGCCATACATCCCCATGTCTCCTGCCCAAATTACTTCAAAGCATACAAATGATTTTGAATAAACATAAACACCCCTCCCCAGTGTACTTTGCTGTGAAGATGTTGTTCATTGTCACAGAATGAAAGGGGCAGTGATGTTTTAATAGAGAAAGTCACAGGAAATACCACATTAAGTGGTATTTCTCTATCCCAGTAGTGAGTTCCAGGCTCAAGAGAGCCACACTCACCAGGCCGGTCAGGAGGAGCATCCCATCTCTTACTGTTCTTTGGGTCTTTCACACTAATGGACTCCAAATTTTTGTTCTCAATCATGTTCTGGGCTATTCAAGAGTGGGCACCTTCTCTCACAGCCTCCTCTCTGAGGCAAACACAACCAGTGCTGCCTTCAGCCCCGAGTTCAGGCTTTATCTTCAGCTGTCAGCTACATAGGGACACTTGGAAGTCATTTCCCTTCTAAAGGAAGATAGCCAAGAGTGGAGCAACAAGTCCCTGGGGACGAGCTGAGTGTCTCTTTCTGTAGGAGAGCACTGAAGTACAACCTATCATTTCTTTCCCAACTAAAGCAACAATCGTAATAATCATAACCACACAAGGCTACTGAATGGTAAATGTACTAGCTGAGATGTGCTGTGAGTATAAGACAGAGACTATCATCAAGACCAAGTGTGCTGACATGAGCCTAAAGTGAAGGCAATCAAAGTAATCTCAGGTATATAGCAAGTTTAAGGCTGGCCCAAACTACATGAGACCATGACTCAATCAAAACAAAATACAAAGCCCAGATTGGCTTCACATTCCCAGGTGATCCTTTGCTTCAGCCACCTATATAGCTATAGGTGTATGTCATCGTTGTGGGCTAAATTGAATTTCTTCTCTCTTTTCTTCCGCCTTCTCTTTTCTCTCCTCTTCTTCTCTCCCTCCTGAGGATCAAAACCGGGGCCTCACACACATTCAGCATGCACTCCATTACTGAGGTACACTCTCGGCCTTTGCATTATGTTTCCGTCGGACAGTACTGATCCAGAAAATGGAAACATGCTCCTTAGAAAGAGAAGTCTGAGCAGGTTTCTCAGAAATATATTACACATAAGAATTTGTTTTCTTAGAGGCTGTTTCAGGTGACAGATTCCACTTACAACTCTGTACTCCACACTGATGGAGTACAGAGCATATTGTCTCCCAAATGGAAAAATATCATTTAGTATATATTACGCTAACTAAAAGTCTGGGGGTCCTGGAGAGTAATGTGAACATGCTGAGTTCTTGATCAGCATATTTATTTTCTAGCTGCCTGAAGTGTTAACACCTTGGGATGGTCATCTGGGACCCAAAGAAAGAAGAGATGACTGGACAAGGAAGATAGTGAGGTAGGCAGCCAACAATCCTGAGCAGGGTGTACTACTCCTGGGCTTCTTTACATGATGTACTGATGAAGTGTCTGATTTAAGCCAGTTTGTTTTGGTTCCCTGTTTTTTAGAGATCTAAAGTTCTGCCTCTATTCCTGCTCCAAGACACAGGGTGTCAAGACAATACTGCCATCCTTTTCTTCAGACAAACATATTTAAGGCCACATTACAAAAGAACAGTTGATATATAAAAAGCTTTCAGCAAGCTAAAAATTTTAGTTTCACATTTTCTAAAGTGAGGGTGACACCTGCTGGCATAAGAAAGCAACAATCTCTGAAGCGTTCCAGAAGTAATTTTGTTTTCTTCGGCAGTTGATCCAGCAACATTTGAGTCCACAGGGTTGAGTCCTCCACAGACCAGGCTGCAGAAGATCAGGTGTCACTTGGGAAACCTTTCCAAACGTTCAGTCTCAGCATCTCTATCTAAGAGCCCAAGGACAAGAACTGTGCCTCTTCCTTCCAGTCACAACTGTGCTCTTTTGCTCCCTGGCCTTCATGTGGTGCCAGCATCCTCTCTGCTGGGCTGTTGTAACCTATTTAGAGTCTGGCCTTCAGCCTGGCTTCCAGCTCCCTGGTGCTGCTATGGTGTCAGAGACAGGATGGTACCTGCTGCCTACCCATTCCTTCCTACATTCCACTGCTACAGAGTTTTCAATGTAGCGTGCATGGTCAAACTACTGCCACTGGTTAAGACATACTCAAATCACCTCTCCTGTGTCTTTCTTTGCCTTGTGGTCTTCTGAGGAAGGTGTTCATTTGCTCAACAGACATATGAATCTATTTATCCAACTGTTGTCCTAGGGCTGCAGGGCAGATGGCAGCTAGAGGCCATGTGTGTGATCCAGTGGGCATGAGAAGCAATATTTGGAGTTATACTCTGTCCCAGTGCATTAACAGTTACTCTGAAATGGTATTAAAATTAAATTGCTATTCTTAATAATAGTGCCCTAGATAACATTAACACTAAATGTAAAGTTATTTTAATAATGGTTACTAACAATAGCAATTATTTCATTCAAAAGAAGATAAGGTTGGAAACTATGTTATGTTAAAGCCGAGTGAGCTTTAGTACAGCATTAAAACCTACTGGCCTTTCCGAACTCTTATCTATGTCAGTTTCCACTAAGGCACATACTGGGCAGACAAGCAAGGAAGCAGAAAGCTTTCC